CAGAGATGTGTCACTCTTCGAGATGCACACCAATTTTAATACCAGGCTATGCTGTTGGCCAGTTTCTCTGTCCATTCTGCCCGTATCATTATGACATGAGTTGATAAACAATACCTACAGTCTTACCCCATTGAGGTGGACTAAATGAATGTTACTGTAGAATGTTAAATGTAAAACTCTGAATGCTGCAACTTTTGAATGTTTTCTTTTTTAAAACTTGTAACTGTCACACGTCAAACTTATCAATTCGATTACAATGACCTGAAAGATGTGGACATATAAGTAACTTGTTCATGTCTTGCATGTTGTGTACAACGTAACAAGGTTAACTAAATATGTCATTTTTCCACACGACAGTTTTCTGTTGTGTGTTACATTTTGCATCCACACAAATATATTGTAATTATTATTATGAAATGGGTGATCAGTTTGTATCTTCTTATTTCAACTTGTAAATGTCACTTATCTACTTTATCAGACAAATTCAATACAATAGAACTGAATGATGTGAACATATCAGTAACTTGTCCATGTGGTACATGTTTTGTACAACAATGTAACAAGGTTAGCTAAATATGTCGTTTTTCCACATGACAGTTTCCTGTTGTGTGTTACATTTTGCTTCCACACAAATGTATTGTTGTAATTATTATTATGCAATAAGTGATCAGGTTTTTATCTTCTTTTTTTTTCAACTTGTAAATGTCACATATCTACTTTATCAGACAAACTGAGTTGATGATTCAGCAAAAGTTGTTTCAAATCATGAATATGTTGACAGATTTTGTATCTACTCTGTCAAACACATATTTTAAATACCCATATCTAAAGGTTAGAAATTCAAAGAAAATATTTGTAGCTGTAAAATTGACATGTTTATATGTCAGTTTAGTTAGGCAATGAAAGTGACTCAAGCAGACATACAATGTGCCAATTTTAATGTTGCATGGTACCTGTTATCAGGAAAGAGATTTAGTGATTTCGCAAGTGTGCGTTCACTGCACAATTCAATCCCAATATTGCCAATATTGTTATAATTATTATTATGAAATAAGTGATCAGTTTCTTTCTTTTTCTTTCAAAACTTGTAAATGTCACATATCTACTTTATCAGACAAATTCAATACAATGACCTGAAAGATGTGGACATATAAGTAACCTATTCATGTGGTACATGGTTTCTACAACAATGTAACAAGGTTAGCTAAATAAGTCGTTTTTCCACATGACAGTTTCCTGTTGTGTGTTACAAACATTTTGCTTCCACACAAATGTATTGTTGTAATTATTATTATGCAATAAGTGATCAGGTTTTTATCTTCATTTTATTTAACTTGTAAATGTCACATATCTACTTTATCAGACAAATTCAATACAATGACCTGAAAGATGTGAACATATAGTAACTTCTTCATGTGGTACAGGAGAGCTAAAACATGTCACAACTTACAACTGAGTTGATGATTCAGCAAAAAGTTGTTTCAAATCATGAATATGTTGACAGATTTTGTTTCTACTCTGTGAAACACATACTTTAAATACCCATATGTAAAGCTTAGAAATTGAAAGATAACATTTGTAGCTGTAAAATTGACATGTTTATATGTCAGTTTAGTTAAGCAATGAAAGTGACTGAAACAGACGAATAATGTGCCAATTTTAATGTTGCATGGTACCTGTTTTCAAGAAAAGAGATTTAGTTACTAAATAGTATGTTTCTTTATTCTATTCACCACTGTTGTCTTTGGAAAGGATTTTGATTCCCCACAGTAATGTTTTGAGGGGTTTTCTTGGTCAATTTATCTGCACAAATAATGTCAAATGTACAATCCTGCAGTGCCCAATGTTACAGAGCCGATTACAACATGGCTCCCAATGCACATACATGTGAGTTTATAAAACTGAAAATGTGTGCGAGTTGCTGTTGTGAAGCACTGGGTGTACCTCTAACAATGGCATGTGCAGAGATGTGTCACTCTTAGAGATGCACACCAATTTTAATACCAGGCTATGCTGTTGGCTAGTTTCTCTGTCCATTCTGCCCATATCATTATGACATGAGTTGATAAACAATACCTACAGTCTAACCCCATTGAGGTGGACTAAATGAATGTTACTGTAGAATGTTAAATGTAAAACTCTGAATGCTGCAACTTTTGAATGTTTTCTTTTTTAAAACTTGTAACTGTCACACGTCAAACTTATCGAATTCTGTACAATGACCTGAAAGATGTGGACATATAAGTAACTTGTTCATGTCTTGCATGTTGTGTACAACGTAACAAGGTTAACTAAATATGTCATTTTTCCACACGACAGTTTTCTGTTGTGTGTTACATTTTGCATCCACACAAATATATTGTAATTATTATTATGAAATGGGTGATCAGTTTGTATCTTCTTATTTCAACTTGTAAATGTCACTTATCTACTTTATCAGACAAATTCAATACAATAGAACTGAATGATGTGAACATATCAGTAACTTGTCCATGTGGTACATGTTTTGTACAACAATGTAACAAGGTTAGCTAAATATGTCGTTTTTCCACATGACAGTTTCCTGTTGTGTGTTACATTTTGCTTCCACACAAATGTATTGTTGTAATTATTATTATGCAATAAGTGATCAGGTTTTTATCTTCTTTTTTTTTTCAACTTGTAAATGTCACATATCTACTTTATCAGACAAACTGAGTTGATGATTCAGCAAAAGTTGTTTCAAATCATGAATATGTTGACAGATTTTGTATCTACTCTGTCAAACACATATTTTAAATACCCATATCTAAAGCTTAGAAATTCAAAGAAAATATTTGTAGCTGTAAAATTGACATGTTTATATGTCAGTTTAGTTAGGCAATGAAAGTGACTCAAGCAGACATACAATGTGCCAATTTTAATGTTGCATGGTACCTGTTATCAGGAAAGAGATTTAGTGATTTCGCAAGTGTGCGTTCACTGCACAATTCAATCCCAATATTGCCAATATTGTTATAATTATTATTATGAAATAAGTGATCAGTTTCTTTCTTTTCTTTCAAAACTTGTAAATGTCACATATCTACTTTATCAGACAAATTCAATACAATGACCTGAAAGATGTGGACATATAAGTAACCTATTCATGTGGTACATGGTTTCTACAACAATGTAACAAGGTTAGCTAAATAAGTCGTTTTTCCACATGACAGTTTCCTGTTGTGTGTTACAAACATTTTGCTTCCACACAAATGTATTGTTGTAAATATTATTATGCAATAAGTGATCAGGTTTTTATCTTCATTTTATTTAACTTGTAAATGTCACATATCTACTTTATCAGACAAATTCAATACAATGACCTGAAAGATGTGAACATATAGTAACTTCTTCATGTGGTACAGGAGAGCTAAAACATGTCACAACTTACAACTGAGTTGATGATTCAGCAAAAAGTTGTTTCAAATCATGAATATGTTGACAGATTTTGTTTCTACTCTGTGAAACACATACTTTAAATACCCATATGTAAAGCTTAGAAATTGAAAGATAACATTTGTAGCTGTAAAATTGACATGTTTATATGTCAGTTTAGTTAAGCAATGAAAGTGACTGAAACAGACGAATAATGTGCCAATTTTAATGTTGCATGGTACCTGTTTTCAAGAAAAGAGATTTAGTTACTAAATAGTATGTTTCTTTATTCTATTCACCACTGTTGTCTTTGGAAAGGATTTTGATTCCCCACAGTAATGTTTTGAGGGGTTTTCTTGGTCAATTTATCTGCACAAATAATGTCAAATGTACAATCCTGCAGTGCCCAATGCTACAGAGCCGATTACAACATGGCTCCCAATGCACATACATGTGAGTTTATAAAACTGAAAATGTGTGCGAGTTGCTGTTGTGAAGCACTGGGTGTACCTCTAACAATGGCATGTGCAGAGATGTGTCACTCTTAGAGATGCACACCAATTTTAATACCAGGCTATGCTGTTGGCTAGTTTCTCTGTCCATTCTGCCCATATCATTATGACATGAGTTGATAAACAATACCTACAGTCTAACCCCATTGAGGTGGACTAAATGAATGTTACTGTAGAATGTTAAATGTAAAACTCTGAATGCTGCAACTTTTGAATGTTTTCTTTTTTTAAAACTTGTAACTGTCACACGTCAAACTTATCGAATTCTGTACAATGACCTGAAAGATGTGGACATATAAGTAACTTGTTCATGTCTTGCATGTTGTGTACAACGTAACAAGGTTAGCTAAATATATCATTTTTCCACACGACAGTTTTCTGTTGTGTGTTACATTTTGCATCCACACAAATATATTGTAATTATTATTATGAAATGGGTGATCAGTTTGTATCTTCTTATTTCAACTTGTAAATGTCACTTATCTACTTTATCAGACAAATTCAATACAATAGAACTGAATCATGTGAACATATCAGTAACTTGTCCATGTGGTACATGTTTTGTACAACAATGTAACAAGGTTAGCTAAATATGTTGTTTTTCCACATGACAGTTTCCTGTTGTGTGTTACATTTTGCTTCCACACAAATGTATTGTTGTAATTATTATTATGTAATGGGTGATCAGTTTGTTATCTTTTTTTTTTTCAACTTGTAAATGTCACATATCTACTTTATCAGACAAACTGAGTTGATGATTCAGCAAAAGTTGTTTCAAATCATGAATATGTTGACAGATTTTGTATCTACTCTGTCAAACACATATTTTAAATACCCATATCTAAAGCTTAGAAATTCAAAGAAAATATTTGTAGCTGTAAAATTGACATGTTTATATGTCAGTTTAGTTAGGCAATGAAAGTGACTCAAGCAGACATACAATGTGCCAATTTTAATGTTGCATGGTACCTGTTATCAGGAAAGAGATTTAGTGATTTCGCAAGTGTGCGTTCACTGCACAATTCAATCCCAATATTGCCAATATTGTTATAATTATTATTATGAAATAAGTGATCAGTTTCTTTCTTTTTCTTTCAAAACTTGTAAATGTCACATATCTACTTTATCAGACAAATTCAATACAATGACCTGAAAGATGTGGACATATAAGTAACCTATTCATGTGGTACATGGTTTCTACAACAATGTAACAAGGTTAGCTAAATAAGTCGTTTTTCCACATGACAGTTTCCTGTTGTGTGTTACAAACATTTTGCTTCCACACAAATGTATTGTTGTAAATATTATTATGCAATAAGTGATCAGGTTTTTATCTTCATTTTATTTAACTTGTAAATGTCACATATCTACTTTATCAGACAAATTCAATACAATGACCTGAAAGATGTGAACATATAGTAACTTCTTCATGTGGTACAGGAGAGCTAAAACATGTCACAACTTACAACTGAGTTGATGATTCAGCAAAAAGTTGTTTCAAATCATGAATATGTTGACAGATTTTGTTTCTACTCTGTGAAACACATACTTTAAATACCCATATGTAAAGCTTAGAAATTGAAAGATAACATTTGTAGCTGTAAAATTGACATGTTTATATGTCAGTTTAGTTAAGCAATGAAAGTGACTGAAACAGACGAATAATGTGCCAATTTTAATGTTGCATGGTACCTGTTTTCAAGAAAAGAGATTTAGTTACTAAATAGTATGTTTCTTTATTCTATTCACCACTGCTGTCTTTGGAAAGGATTTTGATTCCCCACAGTAATGTTTTGAGGGGTTTTCTTGGTCAATTTATCTGCACAAATAATGTCAAATGTACAATCCTGCAGTGCCCAATGCTACAGAGCCGATTACAACATGGCTCCCAATGCACATACATGTGAGTTTATAAAACTGAAAATGTGTGCGCAGTTGCTGTTGTGAAGCACTGGGTGTACCTCTAACAATGGCATGTGCAGAGATGTGTCACTCTTAGAGATGCACACCAATTTTAATACCAGGCTATGCTGTTGGCCAGTTTCTCTGTCCATTCTGCCCGTATCATTATGACATGAGTTGATAAACAATACCTACAGTCTAACCCCATTGAAGTGGACTAAATGAATGTTATTGTTGAAGGTTAAATGTTGAACGCTGAATGCTGCAACTTTTGAATGTTTCCTTTTTATAAAACTTGTAACTGTCACACGTCAAACTTATCAAATTCCGTACATTGACCTGAAAGATGTGGACATATAAGTAACTTGTTCATGTCTTGCATGTTGTGTACAACAACGTAACAAGGTTAGCTAAATATGTCGTTTTTCCACTGGACAGTTTCCTGTTGTGTGTTACATTTTGCATCCACACAAATATATTGTAATTATTATTATGTAATGGGTGATCAGTTTGTTATCTTCTTTCTTCGACTTGTAAATATTACTTGGAAATATAATCACAAGGATGATCAGTTAAACCTGTTCAATTTCATCCGCACAGCGCCTTAGCAGAATGTCCCGTCTGCATAGTCAAGCAGGGTCATCCAGCAAAAACGTCTCCACCTCCTGATATCCAATCACTACTTTAGGATATTTTGAGCCTTGACGAACAATCACGTCACCACTTTTATGACGGTCTTGTCAGGAGTATTTCCCCTGAGGGCAGGAGTCAAATTGCTAGGTGTTTGGGGGCATGTATGAAGAAAGGCATTGAGAATGATGCTAGGTCTTTTGCCAATCAGTATAAAGATAGGGATTTTTGGGCAAATGTAAACACCCGGAAATGGATAGAAGATAGGAATCCGATTTTGATATCACTTTTAGAAACCGCGATGGAAGCAAACAAAACAAATATATTTCTAACAGCAAGGGCAGTGGAACAAATATATAAACTTTATGTCCCCAATTTGATCTCCCCCTTCTCCTTCTTGCAAAATCTTCCCATTTATATGGTAACAGGCAGTGGATGTGATGGGCCATGGTGTCTATCTGGCCGTTACCAGATGGTGCAGCAATGGCTAAAAGAGCATGGGCCCGGTATCCAGATGGTGCCAGATGGTCTCGTTGTTAATGTATTTGACAACGAGCAGGTTATGGGACGAAAAAACAGGATCGCTCCGAACCTAGCCACTCCCATATCCGTGATTACTAACATGGGCTATGTTTTATTAGATGCCGCGTCCACTGTCCAAAGTGAAGAACATTTAAAGCCCCCACCGCCAAAACGCATATGCGAGTCTGGCGCGGCATCACACCCGAGTTGCAAAGAATATGAGTTGTTGCACAAGCAACAACTCTATATGTTTATTGACAAAGCCATTAAAGTAGTGACACAGGAAAGCACAGGTAGTGGCGATGGGGATTTCATAGACATAGCGTTAGGTAGGTTGTCAAAGAAGGATATTGTTTGTGAATCATGTGGGTTTCTAATTCTAGGCCACGGAATTTTCTCTAAAATTTTCGGATTCTTCAATCCTTCCTACAGAGGAACAGTACAGCCACGTCCCATCAGCCCACGACGGGAAACATGACATTGTTCTCACTGATCCGTTATACGTTAACCCGAATAGTTCAGATACAGTCAAAGAGGTGTTGCGCCAGATAGGGAGGGAAAACAACCTGATCCGATATGGAGGCAGCAAAAGACATTGGACTGTCGTTTGTTGTGACGGATTGCCTTATTCAATCATTAAGAAATTGAAGGAAGAAGCACGTATCTGCCAGGCCTGTGATGAAACCTTTTCAAACCAAAAATCACTTGAATCTCACAAAAACTACTGTGTCGATGCAGTTTCGGAATTCGAATTTGATTGGGTGTATCTGAAAATCGGGTCTGGGCATTATGAAATTAATCTGATTAAAGCTTTTTTCGAACAACTGGACACCCTTTCTAGAGTACTATTGTCACGCCATGGGCTTCCAGACTGACGCGGCCAAAAGGTCAGTGAAAAACACAAGCGATCACCATAAGAGTTGGGCGCTGTTACTTGCATTTCATCTGGGCACTCTTGGTGAGCTCGTCCGCCCATATGTCGCGTCTCAGCCAGCACCCCATTCGGCCGAGGGGTTCTTGATTTATGCCAAATCAAATTACACTTCCCCAATTGCTAGGTATCTTTTGGAACAGGTTTTTAGGTATTCCCAGGGGATCATTAATTCAAGGATGGCCGTACGTAGGAATCACTCCCCTCTCCTCCAAGGTGCAAAATACATGACTAGGGAATTATTTCACGGTAGGAATCACCCAAAATATAGGGACATTGAGGTATTCGATGAATTTCAGTACATGGTTATGCCCCCTGAAGTTCAAGATCTTTTCGATAGGTATGTTTCAAGCACGACCAGTGGCCATCCATCTCTAGAGGAGTGTTTTGATTTTGTGCTGGAAGAAAAAAACAAGCGTGTAAAAGATGTCATTCCGAAGGGAATCCCAAGTGATGAAATTTGGCTCTCTGCCTGCCGAAACGAGTCGGTGTTGACAGAAATTCAGCAAAAGACACTTGTAGTAGCTTGGCATATCGAAGCCTGGTACTAGGCTGAGACCGCTCAACCTAGAGGACGCCATTGCGTCTTGGCCTACGCCTCAGGCAAACCAGGTACATCGAGGGCACTGATGTGCATTGCCAGTATAACTGGATGCGGCCCCGATCCCTGTCTGGTAGACTTTACTAAAGACAGGCTGTCTTCATCACAGCTGAGGAAAGATCCCTCAACTCAGGCCCGGAATCATTAACGATAAGGGACCTTCAGAGAGAAATTACGCGATGGCTGCCTCGGCTTTCCCAGGCAGATCGCGAGGCCTTCACCATAAAATTCAACGCCAGGGGTAAAAAAAAAAGAGTCGTACATTTCTCTTTACAATGAAATAAAGGTTTTATTGCAAGATTGAATGCTTTGTTATGTTTTCAATAAATAAATACATCTGATTGTCCCTTGTCTCTTGTTTGTACAACTATGTAAATAACAACAATACTATGTAAATAGTTCAGCAATTTTAAACATGTCTATTGTGTTCATTGTAAATATTCCATGATTTTAGCCTGTCCCGATGTTAACATGTACTGCCCTGCTATTTTGTTCACATGTATGTAAATTATATTCCCTGTTCTGATTTTAACTGGTTTTCACGGTCAGAACGTGTTGCAAACAACTCATCATATCACATCTTCTCCCTCTTTAGATCAGGATGGAACATGCACGTGCCAAGTTGGGTATGAAAGTGGTTGTTGAAGATGAAACACGGATGGAGAAGAACGCCAAGAACGCACTGAAGCAACGGAATGGCGGACAATAAGGGGCATGGTGCGACAAGCCGAGAAGTTGTCGAAGGAGGTGCCGACGACGGAGTTTCTGGTGGTGTTGTCGTTCAAGGGAGGGATCAAGTTCACCGGCACCGGGTCGCTTCTGGACCATTTCAAGAACGGTGAACCCTTGACCGACGTAAAGCCTCGTGGAGTGAGTTACACCAAGGACACACAGAATGACGTGGTCGACTGTTTTGAACCGCCGCCATGCATAGAAGTGAGCACACGAGAGGGGAGCACCGCAAGATACCCGGACACAGAGTTGTCTGATCTCTATCAGAACGTCAGGCGACAGTAAGTGATTTTGATATGTCTGAACTGAAACACAGATAAAAGATTATGTTGGCCGGGTACTCTTCCATAATTTTACTTTCAGACTAATACCAGAGCAAATGGAGCCACCTACCCAAAACGCCAACGTCGAGCCTGAAGGTTGCAGTGACCAAGCAACATCACATAAAAGAGCCAGACAAGGTTGGTAATAGTATGTCTCACCGTCCCTACTGCCTAGCCCTCCCTGCAGTGCTAAAGCCCTAAATCTAGATTTCCCCACGTTCAGGTCTGAATTTCTGGTCTGCCTTGAGCTCCTTTTCAATATAAATTGGTTTATTTGTTACATTCAAAACTAATTTGGTATCTAGTGCGACCTAGTCTGCGGAATGTACATAGCCAGGTACGAATGTCATCTCTTTTTTCATTGTAGTAACTCACGCCGCAAATACCCTGGAAGAGGAACAGCCACGAAGTGCAGCCACCATGACAACCAGAAAAAAGGGACCACACCAGGGAACTGCACCGCAAGAGAACCGCTTAACCACGAGGTATTCACCAGGCGCAAAATGTTCCATAAATATAGGGCTGTGTTTAGGACCAGTATACCGAATTGTTGTTTTTTTCAACCCATTCAACGATGCCTTAAATTACTGTCAAGTAACCATTATTCTTATTTATTAACTTTTCACCTAAATTACTGTTGATGTGTTACAAATTGATATATGTTTCAGTGTTCCCAGTCTACAAGCAGGGACATGTGTCTATGTGGCCGTTCCTACCTCATTAAACTGCACAGTGCCATTTGTTGCTGAGGTTGGTTATGTTTCATCGTCGCTAGGTTCTAAACTGTTAAAACGGGATGACAAATATCAACATAAGGGATTGAATTTCACCGTTGCGTTTGTGTTCTACACAGCTAAAAACCTCCTATTAATTTTTTCGCCAGGTGACGCAGAGTCAACCGTTAAATGTGAAGTATCTTCATCCAAGTAAGACAAGGGGATCCTGGCACTTCCCCGACAAGGAAGACACGGGTGCAGTCAATACAGACGACATCATTACAGTGTTGGCGGCACCCCAAACTAGGATATCAGGCTCCCGTTTCTAGGCGGAGTTCAGGGACCTGCCCTGAAGACCTGTCGTGTTTCTTCTGTGTGAGTGGTCTCATGGTTCTGTTGCCAGTGATATGCGTGCGTGCATGCATGCGTGTACGTACAGTGGTAAATGTATATCGATGTGTTTATTTGTATGACAGGGATATGTGTGTGTGTGTCTTTCCAGTTGTAAATGTACATAAATTGTGTTTATTTCTAATACCTATTTTTACTTATTGCGTGTGTGGTTTCTTTTATGGTTATATATTTCTATATCGTGGTCTGTGTGTGTGTGTGTGTGTGGTTTGTCTGTATTTATTTGTATGACAGTGCTCATAGTATATATAAAGATATAACTGAACATAGCTTTTGTGTTCATTCCTCGCCATGATAAATAAAGCGTCAACAAACGATGCTCGAATACTCGTGCACGCAAATCCGATAGTGTCCCGCCCTCGTCTGGAAAATAAAGCTGTTATCGGTGACCATACCATCTAAGAAATCGGAAATTTACTACTTAAATGAATTAAGAAAAGATATTAAATAATTATATAATAAATATGTTTATGGTCGCCGATAACTGCAGGAAAGAAATACCGCTTCTGTTTCACGTCAATAAGAAACGTATGCATTCATTTTCGCGATATATCTGGGCAATATCGTCATGGGACCAGGATAAGCAATACAACATATTTTCTTACCTTTGCTGTGCGCACCTGGACTGGAGGAATGGAGTATTATCTTCCGCCGACATCAGGATAATTAGTTGACATAGCAATACAAAGCTTCATGATCATTAATCGCGGGTATAGGCCCTGAACCGTGTTTTTGCAGACAGAAACAACATCCTCAATTTGCAATAAACACACCCGCTGTCAGTGAGCCGTTTCAGCGGCTCTCCAGAACCCTTAAAACAATTAGCGTCGAATATGCCACACAGAGAACTCGTAAAGAACTAATTAGACACTAACTGTTTTATGAGTGTTAGCTGTTGATACAACAGCTAGTAATACTCCACACAGAATTCACCAAGAACGCAGACTGTTGTATCAAAAGCTAACACGAAAGTTACAAGAAACGTTTTAGCAACGTTTTCAAAACAATTTATAAAAAACATGATGCATAATGCTTCCGGAAATATTTTACTCATTTCTTTTATTTAACAAATAATACGAATAAAAATACACCTGTCGTATATTTAAACCCTTCAACGCGGTAGACCTTGGTTTCAAAGACAGTACATTTATTGAATGTGTTAAGGCATTCATACGTTTGTAAAGCCTTTTCGGGATGGGTTAACAAAACAAAAACTGCACGCTTCCGATAACACCTCACATCTGAGGAGCTTCACGTGCCATTTGAGTGGCTGACAAAGTCTTGCACATGCGTACAGGGTATGTTAAATATACCATTACACAGCTCATGCAAGCAGAAGCTGACATAATTATATTCTCGAACATCTAATACCGACGTGTCAACATCATGAGCTGTCATCAAATGTGCAAGAAACAGCACTGCATTTCAATTAAATTCTGAAGTTTTGTGTCTCGTAGCTGTAATGCCGGAGCCAAGACAGCCAAGGGCCGTGTAGTGGCGTGTTCGTGGCCTAGGATTATTTTTTTTGTAGGATTAATTTCTACATTTTGTCCGACAAAAGATCGATCGAGTGATCAAACTAATGTTAGACAGAATTAAACAATAAACTGTACGACTTGCAGAATACAACTTACAAGGTTCATCCTTTGTAATTTCTTCAGCACTCATTCTCAGATAAATGTAAAAGAGCAAATGACGAAAGTGTGAAATCCGAGGTCGAGAAACCTGTTTATTCACGACTGTCAAGTAACCACCACGCTTGGGGATTTTACGGGTTGCTTTAATCACCCCGCGCCGTGTTCTCACCCACTCGAGTTGGTCCACGGTGATTGAATTAATTAGGGGAAGTGCTTCAGTTAGTATCACGGAGCGCACCTGTCTCTCGTACACGAGACGATAGGCCGTCTCGCATACACGTTAAGTCTCTGACTGATTAGTGTATGGGCTGCTGCCAGATAAGAAGCAAACAACATACAAACGTTTCTCTGGCCATGTGAAGAGTTGCAGCCTCTAAGAACATTGTTTTAAATCCAACGTCTGTTCTGGTGCTCTATGACAATAGGGCATACCCAGGAAGGGTCCTTGACTATGATGAAGAAAATGACATATATGTTGATTGTATGTCACATGTTTCAAGAAAAGAAAATTGTTTTTTTTTGGGGCCCTCAATGAAGGACCGGTGTTGGTATTCATATGATTCAATTAGTAGCTGTAATTCCAGATCCACGAGGGAATGTGAATTCGAGACACAAGGAGGTTAACCAAACCATTTGGGAAATAGTGTCACATCACGTAAAGAGCTTGACAAATTTATTTTATCTTGTTTTATGTGTTGGTGAAAATAAGGGAAAGAGTTTCTGCATTTGTTCTGTCACTACAATTGATGTAAACTAAGATTGCTCATAATCTTGGGATAGTGCCTGGTAAGATTACTAATAAATACAGACAATATACTTGATTGTTCGTGTTTATGCATATTGTGACAGTTTCCCATTTAACTGGGTATTGAATTGTGTAATTATTGTCAAGTAGTGATGATGACCGACAGTGGCTATGATACATATAAGATGTAAATTTTGAATGACAGTAATATTGTATTATCTGCGAGAATGTTCATTTTGATTGATGTTGTATCATCTGAGAGAATATGTCTCTTTGGAACGGTAGCAGAGATATGTTACGTGTCAAAACATGTTATTTGTACAGCATTGAACAAGCGAATAAATTGATGGGAATCACAGTTATTTATAATAAAGATTATTTCTGTTCTACAATGAATATGATTGGACGTAAAATATATTTTTGGGTTTTATTGAAAAGAATTAATAATACAACCTCGAGCAAAATGTCCCTGTCTACATCCACTGAACACCGACTCCAACGTTCCAGCCAGATATGATACATGTAATTGGTGTGGGCATTTTAAGTGTTTGCTTCCAAACAAGCCATTCTGTGAGAGTTGCTCGCATTCAGGTCGAGAGTGCGTTGTACGCCGTCACCCTCTTTCCGAGCGTTTCTACACTCAACATGTGAAGCAGTGCGACTCGTGTGTTGGAGAAGACGTGAGTGGTATGAGGCAATGTGAGGCGCGTCAACCAGATCGGAGGAGGTCAGCGGTCATCGCTAACTGGTCACTGAGGACAACAACAATCACCCCAGTGAAACAAACAATGTTGACATTCTGATCAACATACAAACAATTTTGCATGATTTTATGACAAAGAAAAAGGAATGAAATGGCTTCTAACGTTAAACTTCAATTTATTAAATATGATGAAAATAATGAAAGTAAGTTGGTTGAACCTGTTTTGAGAACTACTCCAGAATTGCTAGCAGCCGCTCCAGAGGTGAATTACTCGCTTGGAAAACTACCAGTATGGGGGGTAGAGGTATATTGCGACCCTCCACTTATCCCCACCATATCAGTACCGACCGTAGATATTATACAGCGGTTGAACGCCATCCTAAAAGATTTCCAGTCTGACAGATAAGGTGTTCCGCCAGGTCCTGGGGTTTCGGAAGAACGCTCGGTGTCTGGTGGGGGAGATAGGTTTAGACCACTCCGTCCCAGTGTGGGAGTGGAAGGCTCAGGAAACCGCACTGAAAGAGTTGTTACTGCATGTCCCAACATGGCAACAAAAACAAAACTGAAGCGCCATATGCCATGGCATACCAAAGAGTCTGAATGCAGTGGTAGCGAGAAGTAGTTCGCTTCAAAGGGACAACTAAAGATCCACAGTCTGTTGCATGAAAAGCATGCATCCGAATACCAGTGTTTCCAGTTTGGCTATGTGACTGTAACTATGTGTCCATTTGGAAAGCTAGTGTTAATCGTCATGTTAAGAGGAAACACAATGACACATGGCAACACATATGTGACAAATATGGAAATGAGGGAAGAACTGTTTTATCATTATCTTATTTATGGTTCATAGTTACAGATACTAAAGGCTAAATTTGCCTTCTTTGTAGTAATATAGCTGTCTTTCATATGTTTATGTGCTAAATGTATGTCACACATTGTATAAGATGTTATTTTCATTGCAGTAAACCATCAATGGTTCAGGATATTCACAATGTTCTAAAGTGAATGGTATCCATCTAAGATGTTCTCAGCTATCTGCATACTTTGAGCATAATTAATATATACTGGCCATTTCAAGAAAAATTGTAAACATTTATTCTGATTTTTCAGAACTTGTGTGGCCGAGATAATTTTAGATATTTTAGAAACATGTTTTAATCCAGCTTGTTTCTGTCTCATCAAGTGCCTGTACAAGCTATATCACTTAAGCAGTGACAATAGATTCACCCCAGCACTTATATAACTTTTAACTTCACAATAGCCACTTTCAATCTAAAGACAAGTGCATTGCATTGTCTGCCCTTTTCCTGTTTCCTTATTATGTAAGTCAACTTGCCTACAGTCCAACTTTACTTCACAAGGCAGATGTGAGATACAACTTTAACAAGTCTGAGGTTTCATATTGCTCAGTGAATAGTTTGGCATTTTTTGTGGACTGAGTGGCTGAGGATTTCACTATCTCTCTCTATGTAAGATTAAAGTACTGTCCGAAATAGAAAAAAACTGTTTTTAGGCTGTTAATCTGTATCCCTAAAATTTACACAACTGCAAATAGCATATGTCGAAATAACCCACTTTGGCCTAACTTGGCATGCAGTGGGATGCGTAATAGGATATCCATAAAAGCATGTTTATTCGTAAAATCGGGCAAAACTTAGAAAAAATATGAATAGCTGCTGAAAACAATAGATCAGACTATAGATGGCAATTAGGTCGCTCAGCCAGGTATGACGACGGACCGACCGACGGATGTTTTTGAGGTGATAGAATTTTAGATTCTGCTTCTTTTCTGGAGGGCTTGAGCCTTGGAGTTATTGTTCACCTTCGCACACACTAAACAATTAAGAACTGTGTATTTAATGGCGAAGAGAGACATAGCTGCTGACATTTTTACAGATTTCATGCACTTGAAGGTTTTGAATGGTGTGAAGTGTGATCATTATCATGAAAGGCCTCAAATTATCTTGGAACTTGATTATCAATATTATAGCGCATAAGAGTCTCAGAGGAAGCATTATCATGGCGAACCTAATACCTCTTTTCATGTTTGGATTAACCTTGGCATTACAGTTACGCAGAATAGTGAGCTTGATAGGGTTTATGCTGTGCTGTTTGGCATGCTTGTGGAGATTGAACGTGTTGATGGGTTATACTTGAACAATAACAGTGTTTCCGCGGACTTCATTATTTATCGGACACTGTGTCTGGCAACCTAAAATTTTACCGGTCATGAATGAACTTTGCCAGTCATATCCTATCACCATACTGCAAGTACTCATTTTAAAGTTATTTTCAGTCGGCATATTTCCAAAACATAACAATTTTTGTGACCATGAAAGCACAGCCAAGACTGTCATTTCGCTTACCCATGATTTTTTCTTTTTAAAACATGATTATGTAGCGGACAGTGTCCGGCTGGCTTTCAATTTACTGGTCCCCAACGAATTTTACAGGCGATTTGCAGGTATATACCAGAGAACGGAAACACTGAATAACCATATTAAGCGAGCTGAAATGATGGGTTTCTGATACTAGGCTTCTAAAAATCGTGTAATCAATGGAGCGAGGTATCAGTGACTTACATAGGCATCTAAACTATTTGCCTCTGGTGGAAAAAGCATTGTTTTCTCGCATCGGTAATTTTCTCTTTTTTTATCTTGAGGAAAATAGTGAGTGAGTTTAGTTTTACGTCGTACTAAGCAATATTCAAGCTATAAGGTGCTGGTTTGTAAATAACAGAGTCTGGACCAGACAATCCAGTGATCAACAGCATGAGCATCAATCTACACTTTGGGGGTACAATGACATGCGTCAACCAAGTCAGCGAGCCTGACCACCCGATGCCACTAGCCGGCTCTTACAAGAAGCCTGGGTTACTGAAGACCAATTCTACCCAAATCGTCACGGGTATCTTGATGAAAATAAAATTGATATCAAAATATTTCATTTTTGCAATAATAAGAAAACTACTAGATACCTTTGTAAAACTTCAACATTGTGCAGACTTGGGGAAGAATATCAGCCTCTGGGAACTAATAAAACCCTATATATCACAGAACTGCTTAAATAAACTGAAGCATCAATTTGCTACCTAAAACCCTTGATTGTCCAATAGATGGAGCCAATCCACTGGAGGTATGCCAGAACACATCTCACTGTTAGATACATATCAATATGCATAATTGTAACAAAACAAAAACTATATGTTAGTGTGAATAGCATTCATATTTGCAGGGATAAGTTCACTTTTGGCATTAAAAGCACTATAGTCAGCACCAGAGCTCCAGGTGTGCTGTGAATCTTGGTAAAATACACACATAAAATGACAACTAAATAATAAAACAGCCACTAAATAGTGGAACAACATTGTGCATAGTTACTTGCGTACTGACATCTGTTGTAGTTCTGTTGTAGGCACAGGTTGACGTCTGCTGTTGTTCTGTTAAGATCTCTGACAATGGCTGACGTCTGCTGTTGTTCTGTTGACACATGCTGTTTTTCTGTTGTTAAAATCTCTGATTAAGTCTGACCTTTTGTTGTAAAATGTTCAGCTCTCAGATAAAGGCAGACATCTGCTGTCTGTTGTTAAAATCCAAGTCAAAGGCTGACATCTTATGTCTGCTTTTAAAATCTTAAAGAAAGGCTGATATCTTATGTCTGCTGTCTGATGTTAAAATCCAATTGAAAGACTGACATTTGACGTCTGCTGTCTGTTGTTAACATTCAAGTTCAAGGCTGACATCTGACGTTAAAATCCAAGTGAAAGACTGACATTTGATGTCTGCTGTTCAACCCCGAGTGAAAGACTGACATCTGCTGTTCTGTTCTGTTGCTGTCATTTGTTAAGATTTCAGAGAAAGATTGATGTCTGCCATGGCTGTTTCAGCAGCTGCATGGGACAGCGTCAGAGGCAGCAATGTCACCTTCCTCACTATGCTACACGTGTTGTCTGCTGCACACATGAACAGTTGGAAGGTGAAGGTCAAGTTACATTGGCTTTCTTCAGAGTTAGGAATTTGTAGCTGTATGAAGCGTTGCTTAGTTTCAGGTCGGAGCTTTCCTTTAGATACACTGTTGTTATTAATGATGAGTGTACCAAGGTCATCTGTAAAGACAGACAAGCAATGTTTGAAATTAAGTCATTAAATGGGATTAGCGGACAAATAAATATATCAGCGTCAGTCATATTGGACAACCTTAATATTTAGCAGATTTTTTGTCTATTTTAATAAAATATTCATAACAATTACTGAACATAAACAGCATGATCATGAACAATACAACTTCCTTCTCCAGATTGTGATGAGGATTTTAGATGCTTAGTCACAATGAAGTGTACTGCGCAGCGCAATTTATTAGAAGATTTCATTGTAGGCCAAAACAGCTTATATCAAGGTGATAGGGTGACTCACGATTGCTTTTTCCAATATTAATGTATGTGCATAAATGTGGGATCTGCAGCAGAAGTGAGTGTTTTTTATAACAGGGGTGGAATTAATTTTTCTAGCATACTCCGTACAGTGGCACATGTAAAATCACTTGCCCTGATAATTTTTCCACTATACCAGCTGATTTTCTTGTTGATTTTTTAAATAGGCAACATAATTTACATTGGAAAGTCAACTGGACACCGGTACAGCGTGATATACAAATTTGCTTGCCCAACATAAAAAAACACTGGACTGGGATGTTGGGCAATGTAATTAATCGAGTCTGGACCAGACGATCCAGTGATCAACAACATGAGCATCAATCTGCTCAATTGGGAACCGATGACATGTGTCAGTCAAGTCAGCGAGCCTGACCACCCTATCCCGTTAGTCGCCTCTTACGATAGGAGTATGATGCTGACAACCAAAGAATCAAAATACAGGATTCAAACCCACAACAAATGTTCCTGACACACGTTCCGGACAAATGTTCCTGACAAATGTTCCTGACACATGTTCAGGACAAATATTCAGGACAAATGTTCCTGACACATGTTCCTGACAAATGTTCCTGACACATGTTCCTGAATGTTCAACTGGGGACTTCTGTCCAAAATTACTTGCCACATATACTTTCAACAGAAAGGGAGCTAAACCTTGTATATCCTACATTTTCAAAATCAACACGGAGTAATTGTCCCCCAAAAATAACTTTTCAACCCCTGAATGAAACAACAAATTGGTCTGTGTACCTTGACTTTGGAGTTTCCATGAGTTGGGTGCTTCCTCATTCAAGTGATTATCCACATCAAGGTCAACTGTCAAGGTCAGGTCAAGGTGACCTCCAGGTCTGACCTCTATGGATGCAAGCACACCGTCAACAGGAGCAGGATCTGCGTTGTCAATCTTCTCTGACTTCTCAGGGAAAGAGTCCAATATAATGGGGAGCTGAAACATTATATCATCACTTGCAAGGTCAAGCAGTTTACACACAATAAAGAAGAATTGCAGGCTGAATAATTTTGATCAATGCAAACTTAAGTACCAGGCAGTTTAATTTGAGGTACCATGAGATTCAAAGCCGTAATTGTAAGGAGTCCAAGGTGAATGGCAGTCCAACTGAGGTCCTAAATCCTTCAAAACCTAGTATGAGCTTAAATTACTCAGCCTTAACCTGGTTCACACCTTCATCAACACATGTTCACGAGGATTGTTCAGATTCTATATTGCATGCATGTAGTGAATGAAACGTGTGAGCTACCTGGGTTAGGATTTTCTTCTCCAAGTTATACACTTTGATGGCATGATTGTTTGTGTCAGCAATATAGACCATGCCCTTTTTTGTGTTCACACAGAGTCCACCTGGTTCATTGAGTTGTCTCCCTTCCTCCGGCAGACCAATCACAGTGGTGCATTCCTTTGTCTTCAGATCAATACTCTTCAGCTATGGAGGAAAGGATATGTTACATGTGGAACTGTGTGTGAGAAAGTGTGTGTGTTGTTCTATACCGCGACCTGTAAATAACCAAGTCTGGTCCAGACAATAGTGCTTATCATGAGTATGGATCGACACAATTTGGATACAGTGGCATGTGTCAAGTGAGTCAACTTGTGATCAGTGATAGTTGTAAAACGATATGCATGCAACTGTATCACCAAGCCTGACCACCCAATCAAAGTAGTCACGTCTTATCACCAACATAGGCTCATGTAGACCTAGTTCCATGTGGAACACATGAGGCTGAAAGCAAAGTGTTTCAAATACAAATTACACAACCAAAAGTAAGGCATCACAAGCTACCAGTATTACAGTACTAGCACACCAAGGACACCAGCAATGGCAGATTGGCAGTGTGTGAAGCCCTCTGTTGATGCCAATGTTACAGTACTAGCAAAGAGTGAGTGAGCAAGTTTAGATTTATAGTCACATCGGCAATATTTCAGCCATAACGTGACTCTTTTAAAAAATCACAAATTCATAATAAATGCAATTAAGTTATAAAAACCTGTCGATGAAAGACAGTAAAATAACTAGATAATCACGGATAGATGATAGGGGGTGCACTAACCTACCCCGAGGGTGGCTGTGGAACACACACAGCAGCTGGGAAGCTCACCTTATGATTATAGGAGTCGACTACTAGCAATGGTCCCTCATCTCCGGCCAGCGCCACCCCAAGGGGATGCTGCAACTTCGCAGCCACACCCACTCCATCAACGTCACCGAAGGCAAACAAATTCTACAAGGAATCAGAAATCTGTACAATTTTTTCACAAATCAAATAATGAAAACTTAACTACTTTGGAAAAAATCAGAAATAGTAAGAACTTAAGAGGTAAAACAATCATATGTCTATGAAGAGTTATTACCAGGAATCTCATGAGCTTCATATGCTTGGGCACATAAAAGTTCCATGAATCAATGGTACTCTCTCATCATTCGTAGAAGTGGTGCAAGAATCCATATACAAACACACAACACAATCAGTGCAGGAGTATTTACAGAGTTCACATACACTATAGTTCAAATGTGATGCAATAAACACAGTGAAATTAATTAATATTGTTCGTACTCTATCTTGTATGATGCCTACAGTTTACTGCTCATTGTTTGTTGTGTAATGCTCATATTAATTTTCAGCTATATAAGATCAAATATTAAATAGTCAAGTCTGGGCCAGACAATCCTGTGATCTATATAAGGAAGCTACAATGCACACAATCGAGATACAATGACATGCAATTAATCATGTAAATCAGCCTGACCACCTGATCTCTCCTTACGACTGGCATAGGTCGCTAGTGACCTGTTTGAACCTAAAATCCCAGGAGAGTTACTTTTAGTTGAGCCCATCCCAAGAACACCACGATTTGTTTTCCAGCTGCAAGTTCATCGCACCTAGTGTAACGGCTAAACATAGTCTTACGACTCACCATAGGATCTCTCTCCCCGCCCACCAGTGCTCGCACGGCACCATCCTTAAGCAGGACTGTTCGTACACTGGAGCTCTCAGCATCAGCAATGTAGAGGGCGTTCAGCTTGTCAGGTGGAGATGCTGCCAGGCCTGATGGCTGGGCAAAGGCAGCTTTAGCGGGGTAGCTGTTGTTCCGGTTCTCTTCATTACCGGAACCGGCAAACCTGATACATGTGCCAGCCTTGTACTCACTGTCAAACAGCAAACATAATATATTATTTTATTAACTTCTCACTCTTTCTTAAAGCAGCAACATGGTGAAATGTCAGCATTACTTTCTTTTATGTTTAATAGGTCACTCAGTAATATTACACTTTACAGCAATTAACAACTGCCAATAAATAATCTGGTCTGAACAAGTGATTGAGGGATGGGGACTCATTCTAACCCAGAATCCCTGCAGATCAAATTCATCAGTTATTAAATATTCTGTTCAACATTTCCAAACATCAAGAAACAACTGTTGTCCAAGGTCACATGAGGAAACAATATGGACAACTCTCAAATTTGCCCCAGATTTATGTCTGTGAAACAGTTAATATGAACGAGTCACCAGCAACACACTCCAATCTATTCATAGCTCCATCATCACTGATTTCATTATTGTTACCGTACAAAAATTAAGTCCAAACAAGCATTGTCACTAAGGTGACATAATCCCCCGCCGCAAATTATCAAATCAAACTTATAAAGTAATGAAAGTTTAAGATGAAGTTAAATGTCAACAAAAACATGACCAGTCAACCTCTCTTGATATCTTGCTGTTTAGTTGTTCAAACACACACATATTTTCAACACTGACTTTGACCTTGACATGAATGTCAAAGTGTATGAAATATGCAAAACTAGTACTAAAGAAATTGCTTATTGAAAAACATTCAAGGGAGATCCAGTGAACCGTTCTTAAATTATCTTGCTGACAATTCATGTTAACATGCTGAAATCTTCAAAGTGTCGTCGTGACTCTAAAAATTATGTGAAGGTCACCAAAATTGACTGACAGAATATTTTTTTGCGATATCTTGATGACTATCTTAACATGCGATTTAACATGCTGAAATCTTCAAAGTGTCTGTGACCTTGAAAATTAAGTGAAGGTCACCAAAATTGACCGGGCCCTGCGCCTTCCCTAGATAAAGCATGGTACTGAATATGAAGAAAATCCAGTAAATGGTTCTTGAGATAGCTTAACGTGCAGGTAAAACGTTAAAGTACCCTTGTGACCTTGAAATGAAGGGCAAGGTCACCAAACCTGACTGGCACCTTCCTTTTACTGTGATGAACCTAGGTACCAAATATGAAAACAATCCAGTCAACGGTTCTTACGGATGTACGGACACAGCTTTACTATATATATCTCGGCCCCGGCAGCTAAGCCGCAGGGGATAATAATGTAGTCTGAGGTGAGGTGAAATTGGGTTTAACGTCAGTACTGGAGAATATTTCGCTCATATGACGCATGCATGCGTGTGTGTGTATGCGGCTGCTTGTACTAGCCCAGACTGAAGCTGGTTTTGATAGTGCTAGCTCACTGAGATACCATGCCGCAGTGAAGCATGAATACCCCCACTCAGACACATTATACCGACTCAGAGCCGACCAGTCCTTGTTGTACCCAATAATGCCGAGAGCCAGGCAAGGACCAACAAGTACCATATTTTAACGTCTTTTGGTATGACGCGGTCGGGGATGGAACCCGCGACCTTCCGCTCCCCGGGCGGACGCTCTAACCACTACACCACGGAGGCGGTAATGTAGTCTGAAAGCAATGAATTGTGTATTTGTTTATTTTAACTAATGCAGACTTGTTCACCACAAAACAAATGTATATCCATACAGGTAAAATTGCCGAACTGACAAGACCAGATTAAGCAACACTGTTCCTCACTAAATAACATATTCAGACAATGTTGTAGAGAACCAAATGGCTTGAGATGTCCTTGGTACTGTTTTGTTTGTTGTCAAACATAACACTCAACAATATCCCTGCTATACGATGTAATGAACTCTAGACGGGACAACCCATTGAGTGACAACTTACAACAAGGGTACAATGACATGCAATCAGAGTTACCGATCCCGATGACCTGATTTTACCAGCATCTATAGCCAGCATAGTTTCCTAGGCATCAGTTTTTACCTGAATTCCTTTCATTATCTGTGTGTCAACACTTTCAGATAACTTTGTCAAGAACAAATTAAAACAACTAAAATTACTTTCATTATTTTCCCACCTACCAGACCTCCTGACAAGATCTGTCACAACAAATACCCAGACGCCTGAGTTAATGTCCGACATATGGAGAAGGAAGTAACTCACCTGCTTTCTTGTACCACTTCCTGTCCTGCAGGAAGTACACCCAGATCTGATGAGTCCCAGCCATTGCGATGTATAGCACACTAGGGGAAATGTCACCTGTAAGGAGGTCATGGTCAGGGTCAAGGTGGCGAACACAACCTTAAACATGTTGACTACTTATCAACACTGATAACATGATGTCATAAGGCACACCTGTCTGATGACCTCTCAATCCAGAGACAAATATTTTATGGAACCATCTACGATGTCAGGGTACGATGACGCTATCAACTCCGTCTTCATTCCTCAAAGCAATCAGAGTGCTACGACAGTCGTAAGTATATGTTCAAGTATGGGAGTTACGACTGTCGTAGCGCTACGATTGCTTTGAGGAATGGGGCCCTGGTCTCCAAGACTGACCAGCCAAAACATGTGGTTGCTATTCACAACCAGCAGGAATTGTGGGTCAAATCTGTGAGGATCCAGGATAGAATTGGTCTTCAGCAACCCAAGCTTGTAACAAGAGGTGATTAACAGGATCGGGTGGTCAGGCCCGCTAACGAGGTTGATACATCACTGTAACCCAATTGCGTGGATCGATGTTCATGATGTTGATCACTGGATTGTGTGGTTCAGACTCTATAATTTACATACCGATGCCATATAGCTGGAATATTGCTGAGTGCTGCATTAACCAACAAACAATCAACAATGTTGTGCATCAAACCCAGCCTGAAAATGTCACAGGATGTGGATTTACTTCTGTAAATCTCAGTCAAGTGATATAGTGTTTAGAATGGAAGATAGCTGACCTTGACCCCATCCTAGAACCAGGTCCCATGGGGAGGACAATGGCTGCTGAGGACCAATGCTACCTCCTTCCATGTCTGTCCCCTGCTGGCCTGTCCCGGCTATCGTCCTTACAGTCTTAGTCTTCAGGTCGACCTGAAACAAATATGCTTTGTCAACAACTGCAGCACTGACAAACACTTGACATGATCTGGCATTAAACGTTAAAGGGATGACAGCAGAGACTTGCAAACATCACAAAGCAAACTTCACAACTGAAAGACTTTGGCTTTGAAAATGGAGAGATTGTTCCAGTGTTACTTTAGGGTCCCAGGAATTGATCATATTTATCTGTAATTTTATAGAGGTTTTTAGGACTATTTGTTAGTCTAGGTACTTCATTGACACTAGAATAGCATACTGTCCTACCAGTCGTATTGAGTGATTGTCTGTATCTGCCACGTACACCGTCGTCCCCCATACTACCACCCCCTGGGGAGAGGAAAACTTTGCATTGGAGAAATTGCCATCTTTAAACCCTCGATCTGGTCCGCCGATGACACACTGCAAGATAATAAAATATATCTGTCAAAATGATGAATGAACAAAGGATGGTACACACCTGTACCATACCACACTGTTTCCCCCCCACCAAACCCAACTAAAAAACGTGAAGGTCCGGGTTAGAATTGATCTTCAGTAACCCATGCTTGTTGTAAGTGGTGACAAACGGGATCGGCTGGTCAGGCTCGCTGACTGGGTTGACACATGTCATCAGTTCCCATTTGCATAGATCGATGTTCATGCTGTTGATCCCTGGATTGTCTGGTCCAGACTCGATTAATTACAGATCGCTGCCATATAGCGGGAATGTTGCTGAGTGTAGCGTAAAACTAAAGTCAGTCACTCACACACACACACCTACACACACCTACACACACACCTGCACAACCCCACCGCCAACTCCCTACACACACACCTGCACCACCGCACCGCCATCCCCCCTAAACACACAAACACATATCTGCACAACCCCACTGCCCCCCTACACACACACACCTGTACAATCTCACCACCATCTCCCTACACACACACCTGCACAACCCCACCACCATCTCCCTACACACACACCTGTACAACCTCACCACCATCGCCCTACACACACCTGCACAACCCCACCGCCCTACACACACAGACACACACACCTGCACATCCCCACTACCAACCCCCCCACACACAGACACGCACACCTGCCACTGCATACCCCCACTCCCACAACCCCACTGCCAACCCTCTACACACACATGCCTGCACAACCCCACTGCCATCCCCCTACACACACACCTGCAAAACTTTACTATCGCCCCCCTGCACACACACCTGCATAACCCCACTGCCACCCCCTGCACACACACACACCTGCACAATGACATTATCCCCCATACACACATGCTCAACCCCGCCCTACCCCATACACACCTGCACAACGCCAGTGTCCGCTTCCAGCACCAACACCCGGTTGTTCCCTGTGTCTGCCACCACCAGGTCCCCATCCTCCGTCAGACACAGCTTCCCCGGGAAACTAAGGGGCGATCCCAGCTGTTTGTGTTTCTCTAGACTCAGGGGAATATCTGCTTCCTTCACCTCATTTTTAGCCTTGTAATATTCCAGTGCTATGCCAACAAATTCCTCCAGTTTATCCCGATGACCTTCACCCACCATTGCATAGATATACCGACCTTTGGGACCAACCAATAGGAATGTAGGCCAACAGCTGATCTCCAGCTGTTGCCATAGCAACGATCAGAATCATTGACAACAGGATGTTCAATGTTATACCTAAGAACAGCACTGAGAATGTTTGCTGTAACTTTCTCATTCAGGAATTTGGCTGAATGAACACCAACAATTATGCGACTCCATCCTTGACCTTGAACTTTGACTCCAAGTGCTCCAAATCAGGCAGCACATGCATACAGTTGATGCAGCAGTAAGTGAAGAAGTCCAGCACCAACACTTTTCCTGCAAGCTGATTGGTCAGTGACAATGGTTCCGGAACATTCAGCCAATCAAGACCTGTAATTGAACGAAAGTTTGAAAACTTACTTTCTGGCTTTTTCACAGCTGAACTACGATTTTTAATCTTGAACATTTATTAAAGGTCCTGAAAATATCGATGTCAGACTATACAATCAGAGCATCTGTCATCATAGCCACATACAGAATGCAGACCCCAAACCCTGGACATGGATCTAATTCAAATTTACATCCCAAGAACCTGACCCTGTAACCTGCGTTAGTAGCTGCCAAAATGTCTGATAAGGAAACTGATCTCACACGAGTCACAAAAGTATTTAGATACATGTACACGATGATTCTGTCTTCATTACACTGACGTTGACCATGACTGTTCCTCAAATATATAAACGTAAGGAGGACTTTTTGGCAGTCAGAAAGAAATGTGAACATGGTCACTGAGACACCCATGCAGATCTTGATTGTAGTAGCAAACATAGTAGCAAATATATTTGCTGTACTATTATCAACTCGCTGTGAAACCATCATCGGGGATCATGGAAAGTATTTGTCATTAAGCCATATATCACATGACTAACCATAATTCAGGGTGTGCCTATCGGCACCTTTACATACCTAACTGGGGGTATACAGGGCCTCTATTTCTTATTAATATTAATTTTAAGCATCCTTGCAGGCAGTATTGGGGTCCTGTATGTTAGTGAAAAGAGTGTAGTGTACTGATCAAGTGGTCTTGATTGAAGGTGAAATGAGATGCATTTCAGGTGCAGTTGATATCGATACTATTGTGCCTCCATCAGGACACTGTATTCTAGGGCTGGGACGGGTAGGAAAAACTGGAATCGAGTACCCGGATGTACTTACCCGAATCGGAATCGAGTACCCGGAAGTGTCAGGAATATAACGCTTTCTGTCAACTTTCTGAATATCCAATCACGATTTGACAGAGATTGTTTTGGAGGAATAGAAAGTATGGCAGTAAGTAACTGATCTTAGGCTATTTAATTTACGTCTGTTTAACTAAGATACAGAGTAACACCATTACGTACATTCCTTGTTAAAACAGAACTTTTCGTCACAGCTGTTACTGACAGTCTGTGACTTGACTACTCAGTGCTCATGCATATAAATTACAGTCGCTAATAATAGCCTCCATTAAAAGGACAATACCAATGATGTATATGTGTTACGTCAATAATGAAAGAGACAAGTTATTTATTCAACTAGCAGACAACTACCTTCAGATGTGATATTCTAGTTGAACCTATAACGCTTTTTCATGTAGACTTTATGTAAACGTACATAGAATAAAATTTGATTGATGAATTTAGTACTATTTACTGACTGGAGAATTCTATACTGAGATAGAGACAGGCAAACTGTACAGCAGTTGAGTTGAACTACATAGCAAAATGTTTCGCTCATTATCAGGAAGACTGGTTATTTGCATTATAGTTTGCCTATTATACATTACAGAGTACAGACTGACACAGAGCCGTGAATAACTCATTAACCCTTTATGAAATATCTACAGTGATTTAACTTTATATTTTTATCCTTCCACAAGATGTTGCATGGAAATGCGTTTTGTTTGAAAAAAGCTATTGCTATTTCAATATTCTAACTTTTATGTAAGTGAATATTGCGTATCTTCATTGGAATAACTGTTTGCTGATTATTATTTGTTAAACTATAATATGTATAGTAACTGAATGGTAGTATATGTGAGTTACGGAGTTGTGCTTCTATTTCTGATCATCGCTCTTCTTAATGTAATGATAACCAGTCGAACATTGTATTTACAACCCGGGTGTGCTCTTTCAATAGACGTTCGTTTTTAATATGCTAATTCAATGTTTTATTGATATTCCCATTCCCTACAATCTCTATAATAGTGAATGTATTTAGGTTTGACCAAAAGTAAAAGCTGTCTCATGAAATTGAAATAAAATAGTAACTAAAGACAAAATTCAACGTCATCTTAAGAGATTTTAATGAATTTTCTTAATAAACATAGTGAATGAACATAGTTAATGAACATAGTAACTCAATTTAAGGGACGCGTTTATCTCACTAGTGATGATCGTATCTCACTGATTCAATCCGAATCTTCAGCAGACTGGAGGTTGGGGAGGGTGGGAGGTCATCTTTCGCCTCGGCTTTAACGCCAAGAGGCAGAGCAGAAGACGCCGACTGTGTCGTGGATGCTGCAGCAGCTGAGCCGGGACAGTGTCATATGATTTAGACATATTCTTATTCAGAAATATTATTGCATCGGCTGTCTTCGGATCAAGTGCTGCCCTCTGGTGTGTAATGGTCATGCCGGCAGTAGAGAAAGCCCGTTCTGAGGGAACGCTGGTCCCAGGAATACTCAAATATTGTTGTGCAAGAACAGCTAGCTTCGGAAGGCGACTTTATTTTCCCGCCACCAGTTCAAGGAGAATGAACGCCTCTGATAAGAGAGGCTGTCAACTTGTTGGAGGCTGCTTGAAAGTCGCTATATTCCTGCTTGGCGGTCCTGTCTGAGACATCATCCGAGATTTCAATTATGTCCCCAGTAGGAAGGACATTGCCTTCTGACTTTCAGAGAACTTCACCTTTTCTTAGGTGACGGCAATATCTCCTCCTGTTTGACCTGAACTTCGCTGACTCGGGAACACTGTTATCATCCTCGGGATCTCCACCTTCAGCTGGGCATTACCATTGATGAGGGATACAATGTGATCCTGCAGTTGTTCCCGCTGGTTGTCCTCCAAGCCGAAGGTTCTTAAAGCATGGGTCGAGGGCTGTAGCAATCATTGGTGGGGACAGAAAGAAGTTGTCTTTGAGCAATCTTGACTGAAGACCATCTGATATTTTCTTTTTGACCTGTGTGATGACAGCCACATCGAGATCAGACGGCAGCAGGTGTTTCTTCATCAGAGCGAAGACAAGAGGATACACGCCTGCAGCTGTAGGAAACTGCTTTCGCTGCAGAGAACTTCAGTTGCTGATACCAAGGGTTTCAGACAATGAACTAGGTGCTCCATCAGGCCCAGTGAGCATCTTTTAGTATCAGGGACTTATGTTTCTTGTCATCATGAAGAACTGTAGCGACATCAGCGCGTGTACCTCAACCAACCGCCAAACATGAAATAGATGGAGTTCCATCTGGTGCAGACGCCACTAATGACGTGTTTGATGGGTTTCCCCAGTTTTTCTGCACCTCCTCCAGGTGCTGTGTGGCCACATGTGATTTTGAAAAGAAGGAGACAAGTTTCCTTGAATGAATGATGACATTGTCAACAGCATCTAGCTTGAGTGCATCTCCGACTGCAAGCTGCAATGTATGAGCGAAACATCGTACATGGGGGTATTCAGCCATCCTAGCTGCTACTGTCATGTTGCTGGCGTTGTCTGTAGTCAAACCGAGACCGTTTGGATTTTGAATTCTGATTGTATTCCTTTCAGGATTTCGCTTATGTTTTCCCCACTGTGACGCTCTTCTACCGCCTTTCTTTGTGGCAATAACACAAGATTTCAGCTGCCAGTCACTTGTCAGATAATGACCTGTTACAGTAATGTAGCCATGTGTAGCGCAACTCGTCCACATATCTGTGGTTAGAGCAACTCCCTCCGTGGACTTGAACGTTTCAGTCAAAACAATTTTAGCATCTTCAAATGTTTTCATCAGATAATTATGCATTGTTTTTCGACAAGGAACTTCATAGTTAGGGTTTAATGCAGCGCAAAAACCTCGGAAACCTTCGCCCTGTACGATATTCAGCGGCCTCAAATGGCCTTGCTTGTGATGTTTTCATAGCTTTCCTTCGTAAGAACTTTCTTGGCTGTGAATGTAAGTGTGCTTTGTTTCTTTGTCGCTTTTGACTCTGTTTGAATCAAAGATCTGTGTTTTAGTTCAAGATGCTTGTGCATCGAACTTGTACTACTTCCGCAGTAGGTTAGCATGGTACCACAGAGTCGGCATTTGGTTTTCTTACCATTTGCATCCAGCTCAAAATGAGTCCAAACACTCGACTTAGCACGTTTGCCGTCCATTTTGCGCTAGGTTAGAGTTACCTGCCCTTGCCACTACAGAGTTCTCTCCCCTTCCGGGTACTCGATTCCTAGAAATAGGACTCGAGTCCACCTGTACCCGACCCGGATTCGAGTACCCGAGTACCCGTCCCAGCCCTACTGTATTCTACATTCATTCTCAGCATTTGTATGTACCGGACTCACATTTGTGTACAGGGGCTTGTAATGCAAAAAACAAGCATCAAGACTCAAAGAGTCAATGACAGGGTATTATCACTATCCTTGATATAATGCTCACATATCATCATTGACCACATGAGCCTTGATGCTAGTGTTTAGCGTTACAAGCCCCTATGCATTTGCCGCGATGCCGCGATGCAGGGTCATGTCTTGACTGTATAGGACCGCATCGCGGCTCTCGGCTAGACTAAACCATGCACCGCAAAGAGCCCATACATTGAGTTCCGAGGATACTTGTTTCAACTCAAAAACAAACAAGCTGCTTACATACATACTAATAAACAGATGTTTTTCATGGTAATACGAAACTGCATTATCATAGTTTCGATATCGTATGAGACTTGTTTACTCTTCAACACCAAGTGACTGGATGAAAACTTGACGAAAATATCATTTCCTTTTATAAAATGCGGATATACACCTTATGAACCAGTTTGTTGAACATACAGACATAATATAGCGAAGTTTATCGTCAGATAATGCGTATGTCTGCAGCAGACAGGAAATTACATGCAAGTCACGTGCCACACCCAGCGTTCGTGTCATTCGGTCATGTTCAAACACGCCACATACACATGCTAGCTAGGCCTAATTATCTACCTGCTTTGAAATCAGGAATTACAAAGTTCAGTGAGTCCACTTTTTCAAGATGGCGGAGAATAATAGCTTTTCTTGCTATCTTGTCAGTGGCGTCTGTCAGCTCTTCGTCGAGTGTCATGCACTGAGCGACAACTTCTGTAAGTCCCGCCATTTTGAATGGCTTGACTTCCGGATCCCCTGTAATGACGTCAAAAAGTTTAAAGGGTATAATATTCTATTTTTAGACATGGGCAATCCCTTGTGGAGACAATTCCGAGTTAGTGTGTCAGTTGGATTTACGACGCTTTGGTCAGCATTTTTTAAAAGTGTGAGGTGACACTGGTTGTGAGCCTTTACTACATTGTTAAAACCCATGTTGAACACACCAAGAACCATACTGGTTTCAAATGAAATCCACACACGAAGGATCCTGACACAAGTGAGGGACTTAACTCTGAAAAAGCAACATTTAGATTAATAACTTATTGATATATAAGCAGGGATAATCTACAGCATTCTCCCTGATATAAGTAAGCAATTTTCAAGACTTGAAATAATACTTTGCTAATAAATACCACACAGTGATAGCTTGAACGAGTATGGAAATCCCATTGTAAAATCGACAAGTATCGCGCCTTTTGTGTTGACGTAATATCTGAGCTTCTAACCAAAGGATCCCGGCACGTCTACGTCGGCCATAAGTCTGTGGATTAAATGTTCTAAACATGCAATTAAATCAAACTCACGTGCTGACAGAGAGTGAGTGATTTTAGTTTTACGCCGCACTCAGCAATATTCAAGCTATATGGCGGCGGTCTGTAAATAATCGAGTCTGGACCAGACAATCCAGTGATCAACAGCACACTAATCACTCTAACACTGTACTTCTATGTATGGATAATAGTTTGTTTGTACTTATATGATGAGACCCAGGAAGGTCCGGGTTAGAACGAATCTTCAGCAACGCATGCTTGTCGTAAGAGGTGACTAGCGGGATCGGGTGGTCAGGCTGGCTGACATGGTTGCCACATGTCATCATATCTTAATTGCGTAGATCGATGCTCATGATATCAATCACTGGATTGACTGATCCAGACTCGATTATTTACAGACCGCCGTTATATAGCTGGAATATTGCTGAGTGCGGCGTAAAACAATACACAAACAAACCTAAAGCACACAATATACCGCATGGTTGAAATACCTAGAGAGGTCAACGCCCCTATATTGCACGGTGTGGCGCCAATCCCACCAGAAGGGCACGGTTCTACATAGTATACCGCTTCTATATTGTATACCCCTTTCAATATGTTGCAATACAGCTCTTTTATGGAATGAAAATAGCTGCACGGTATTTTACAATTTAAATGTAGCTCATTTTGAAGAGTCCATAACATGCAAGACAAAATTCTAACTGGGTAATTAGTTGGAAAGTTTGAGAGAATAAATAGTGATGACATATTTCAGATCATATAAACGTGAAAGTGAAGGATTCTGATCGACAGGCTTCTGAAAAAGTGTGCCTCAGCACGAGAGCACAAACGCTTTTATCTTTTAGATATATGTGCAGATAAAGTTTCTCTGTTTTCAATAATTAAATCCACGACATTACATAATACGTTTGGTATTTTATATCACGTTCAATCAGAAAACCTAAGCCAGAATGTATTTTTAATCACTGATGAAATGGAAAGATTGTATAACTTCTCATTGTTACTTTACAGATAATGCTGCAATGGGTGCATGTGTTTTTAACAAATCATCCTTCCACCTTAATCAGTGATATAAGAAAGCTCAACCTCTCTTTCGTATTCAAGCTTTCGATCTATTTTGGAGATTGAAGTTCAAATTAAAAAAACTTCTCTGAAAAATCATCTGGATTCCTGTATCTTTTGTTTTTTTAAATTTTGACATTCAGGACTACGATTTGTTCAGTGAGTGAGTTTAGTTTTACGCCGTTTTTAGCAATTTCCAGCAGTATCACGGCGGGGGACAGCAGAAATTGGCTTCGCCGTATTCTACCCATGTGGAGAATCGAACCTGTTCCCGCCCCGATATTGTTCAGCGTACTGATGGCACCGTTTCTTTTTGATTATGTTTTATTTGTTTCCAAACGAGAAACAACTTCTTACAACACATTTATGATGAGTGAGTTAATATTTAATGCCCAATCAGCAGTTGACCAGCAACGTATCTTCCAGACTGTAAAGTAAATTTATATAATTAATTCAAAACAAATCCTTTGTTTTATAGAATATTCATAATGGATTACATTTATTATATATACATTCTACGATCGCTACTCTAATGATTAGCTTACCGCAAAACTAGATGAGGGTACATACCTGTAAGAGATGACGCATGAATGTTTATTGATGTGCGGACAAGGGCGGAAAAACGTTTCTCCTCGCTGAACAAACCGAGTTACGTCCCTTTATCCATACACTCGTTTAAAGGCAGCACGTTTTTTATGTGTTTCACGTAAGCACCGTGATGTACAGTGGGATCAGACGGTTCGGTTTTGGATAAACAAAAATAAGAGTGAGTGAGTGGGTTTAGTTTTACGCCGCACTCAGCAATATTCAAGCTATATGGCGGTGGTCTGTAAATAATCGAGTCTGGACCAGACAATCCAGTGATCAACAGCATGAGCATCGATCTGCGCGATTGGGAACCGATGACATGTGTCAACCAAGTCAGCGAGCCTGACCACCCGATCCCGTTAGTCGCCTCTTACGACAAGCAAACTCGCCTTTTATGGCAAGCATGGGTTGCTGAAGACCTATTCTACCCCGGATCTTCACGGGTCACAAAAATAAGAATATAAGAGTCATATAATGAGCCGTTGGTAGGTCCTGAGTTCGAGTGGGCGGAAATAAAACATAACTTTGTTATATATTATCGGGTCGACAGCTAAATTACAGAAGGTTGGCGATGAGAAACGCAGACATAAAAATAATGTTTCCTAACAACAGTTATTTTCCACTCAATGATGCTTCTTCGATATATACAAGTTACTAACAATATGTTCCGATTAACATGCAGAGTTTCCGGTCCGAAACGGTAAAAATAACTACATTTACGCATCTATAATCCTTTCCGTTCGTGAGCAGAGAACGTAAGTAAAAGTTAGAGTTCTTCCCCTTAGATGTGTTTCATTCGGAAAATATCGTAATTATCCGGAAAATGATAATGAATATCAAACATCAAATCGGTATGTTTATCGATCACATTACATGTAGTGTGTTTGAATCTTGTATGTTTATTTTACGATCTGTGTGCTGATGTTTTCAAAATCGTGGATTGACTCTGCGAAAAAATGATAACCAATTTCATCGAATTCATAGAATCCTACCTTGTCAAACGCCACTCGCACTGCTACGGATAATGTATATATACGGATATTCATCTGTAGTCGTATGGGGCAGCTATCCATGTGTTCGTGGGACCAACCACAGTGGTTAACGATCCCGACACTGATTCACATGCACCTCTCTCTCTCCATCTGGGGAAAATATGTGAAATGTTCTCAAGCTGATGGATCAACACACATAAAAAGTCTCGCCACCCCAAGGAATAATTAACTGGCAAATCTACACGCAAACAGAACGAGATGTTTCAGAGAATATTCAAACATGATATAGTTTCATCTATACTCGGACCTTATCAGTATTGAGACCTCCGTTAATCCACATTCCATACAGCGAGCCCGTGGACTAGTGGATAGAGAATTTGCCAAGAGATTGGAACGTTGATGTCCACGCCTACCCAACCCGTGCTTTCGTCTCCTTCCACTCAGTATGTGTCATCCTGCCAACACACGACTACGGAATGTAAGCAAAGCTTTAGACTGGGTATCCGGAAGGGCAAAGTCGATGTTTGCTTGTGATATTTCAGTTGTAGTGAAGGATTTGTTTGATTGTTTCTTTGTTGTTGAAATCCGCACTTAAATATGCTTTGAGGGCGTTTCTGGAGCATATATGAGTGGTAATGTGGCCTTCATGAAACAGGTGAGGTGAGGTGAAATTGGGTTTTACGTCGTGCTTGAGAATATTTCGCTCATATGACGACGTGCATGCGTGTGTATGTGCAGCTGATTGTACTAGCCCAGACTTAAGCTGGTTTTAAATTGCTAGCCCACTGAGATACCATGCCGCAGTGAAGCATGAATACCCGACTCAGACACATTATACTGACTCCGAGCCGACCAGTCCTTGTTGTACCAATTAATGCCGAGCGCCAGGCAGGGACCAACAAGTACCATATTTTAACGTCTTTTGGTATGACGCGGTCGGGGATGGAACCCGCGACCTTCCGCTCTCCGGACGGACGCTCTAACAACTACACCACGGAGGCGGTCTCGTCTCTTACGACAAGCATGGGTTGCTAAAGGCCAATTCAAACCCGGATTTTCACAGGTCGTAGTGAAGTAAGCGCATAGGGTTTCATGTGGAAACTGAGGAAGCAGGGTGCTTGTACGTACCAGGGATAAGCTAGGCCCCGTCTCGCATATCGCAATATACCGGCTTGCATCTTTGGCGCAAGTTAGCGCGCGCAGAGGGAGACGGGAACCAGCTTAGTATCAGGGACTGCCAATGGGGGTTATGTGTAATTGATACCTACAAGAAGTACCGAACGTTGGTGGTTCGACTCCCCGAAATATATTGACGGTGTTTGTTGTTTCCTCGCCTGGCAATCAGAAATGAGGGAATAAAACAAGGATTGTTCGGTTTAGAGTCAATATACTGGGCCCGGGTGGTATCTGAATTGATATTTCCAGTCTCCGCTCACTACAATCACTACTATAAAACCTTATTCCTTCTATCTTATCTACATTTAACGGCATTTTATGTATCTATATCTGTTATAACCATACAAAACCTCAATGATGTCATATATGTCGCCTTTTATGTCATATATAATTTAATTGAGAATTGAAATAGAATTAAAAAAAAGAAATAAAGGTGGCTAGCGCTAAAACACACTAGTACACGCCCACACACACGCATACACGCTCAAGCGCACGCGCACACATCCATATTAGACATCATACAAGAGCATTTTGAGCTCGACGTTCAATTCCATTTCACAACATACCCAGAATGCATTCACCTCAAGTCCACTTTTTCTACATTTTCCAAATTCTCTTTTAGCACCATCTCTTTATTCTTCAAACAACAGGCGTGGCCCCTGTGCTGAATTGTAATGGCCAGTGAAGTATTGTTTTCATACGTAGGTAATTATTCTACCTGGCAAGTATCCTGAGGATCACGACTAATACGAATTGTCTCACAACGATCTGTAGACAATCTGGTTTGGCACAATTTGTGACTCTGTCTATGTATATTGAACGGTGAGGTGAGGTGAGGTGAGGTGAAATTGGGTTTAACGTCGCGCTTGAGAATATTTCGCTCATATGACGACGTGCATGCGTGTGTATGTGAATGTGCGGCTGCTTGTACTAGCCAAGACTGAAGCTGGTTTTATAGTGCTAGCCCACTGAGATACCATGCCGCAGTGAAGCATCAATACCCCACTCAGACACAGTATACTGACTCCGAGCCGACCAGTCCTTGTTGTGCCCATTAATGGCGAGCGCCAGGCAGGGACCAACAAGTACCATATTTTAATAACGTCTTTTGGTATGACGCGTTCGGGGATCTAACCCGCGACCTTCCGCTCTCTGGGCGGACGCTCTAACCACTAAACCACGGAGGCGGTCAAGGCCGTTAAAAAAACAGCTTAATATGTATTTTCTTGTTATGGGAAGGCCGTTAAAGAAACAGCCCAATATGATTGTATTTTCGTGTTATGGGAAGGGCGTTAAAGAAACAGCCCAATATGATTGTATTTTCTTGTTATGGGAAGGCCGTTAAAGAAACAGCCCAATATGATTGTATTTTCTTGTTATGGGAAGGCCGTTAAAGAAACAGCCCATTATATTTGATTGTATTGGTAAGGGCCGTTAAAGAAACAGCCCAATATGTATTTTTTTGTTATGGGAAGGCCGTTAAAGAAACAGCCCAATATGTATTTTCTTGTTATGGGAAGGCCGTTAAAGAAACAGCCCAATATGTGTAATTTCGTGTTATGGGAAGGCCGTTAAAGAAACAGCCCAATATGTATTTTCGTGTCATTGAGAGGCAGCGCTAAACTAACAACCAAGCATAGATTTTTGTGTTATACTAGGACTGAGTTGAAGAAACAACCAAACATATATCTTCCACATGACCTGATTTTGTCTAAGAGTGTTTGTGCTGACATTTGGTATAAAGAATTCACGACTGCGGGCAATACAAGATTTGGAATGTGACACAATTAAAACGTCACGAAACACGAAGAGTCATCAACCCCAGTACAAGGACATCGTTCCCAAAAGGAAAGTCAGCTATGATCAATGTGTAGCACGTCCCTCTTAACACCTGCAACTTGACTATTCTGAAACGTTAATTGTGCAGTTATGTCCGTGTAACGTCTGTGTTGAAGCCATGACAGCAAATGTCCATTAGATTGTATATTGCCAGGACAAAAACTGTGTAAATGCAAAAATGCCCAAGGTTATCGGCAGCTTCATCTGCGTTGATATAATGGGGCAGGAACCTCGACATTACAGAAATAAAATGTGTCTTTTCTTGTGGAATAATAAAAATGTGTTTTTATATCTTAGTATAATGATCGGTAGATGGCCTGTTATGGCACAATTTGTGTCTCCATCTTAGTGTATTAATCTGCAGACGATCTATTATGGCGCCATCTATATCTTCATCTTAGCATTTGAACTGTAATCAGTCTTGTGCGTCACAGCCTGGATCCAGTTGAATACACTGAGATAACGACAGAGATTGTAACACAAGAGACTAATCACAGTTCAAAACACAACAGGTTGATCTTAATAATCTTACTCATTTTAATAAGTCACAAACCTAGGATGCTACTAATACCTCTTCAAATTGCGGATTATTTGGTCCAGTCTCCATTATTAACAGACAGCCGCCACATAGCTGGGAAAACTGCTGAAGGTGTTGTTAAACAACAACAACAACAACAACCAACAAACCAAACCTAAAGCCAAACCAAGAACATAGTAAGTTTTACAAGATGGTATCAAGTGACCTTTTCAGACTATGCCTATGTGGAGTATCGATGTCAAGTTGCGGCATAATACTAGCGTTAGACAATCACGTACGTGTGCCTGGACGACGCTATGAAACAGCAATACTCCTGAAGTTGGCGTTTAACACCGTTTCACCCCTCCTGTAGCCGACATAGGGAAGATATTTACTGTTGCTATGGACGCATTCCAAAATGATGTAACTGCACAAAGATCCATTGTGTTGGTGTAACATCCAGTGTAAATATGTACAATATAAACGTAACTGTATTCAGGGTGTACTTATGGAAGTGTGTAAGTGCGAGAGAGAGAGGACAAAAGGGTGGTGAAAAGATAAAGGCGAGGCAGTGTATCAGTGATTTTGGCAGAGGGGTGTGGGGAGAACTGAGTAAAGGGTGGGTTTTCTGGGTGGGTATCAGGGATTTTGGTAGAGGGTGAGGCGAGGAATAGATGTTCGGTTCATAAAAATATGTTTAAACCTGACTTCAGTACACGTGTACCTAGTTGACTGAGGCGTAACATTACCGGTAGCTGGTGCGGAATATCTCACCGACCATGGTATGTTGACGGAGGTGCTACGGGGATCCGACGAGAGTACATTACCGCGCTGGGTGTCGAGTGGTTGTGTTAATACGCCGTCTACCTCCGTTGTTGATTACAGTTGTGAATGCTACAAGTAGAAGTGTTCAGCTCAAGGAGCATGTTACATAATGGAGTGACAGGTTGATCGTCGACAGTGTTAGGTAATCTGAACTTCAAGCACTGGAAACCAATATTTCAGCCGGACGGAAATTGGTCTTCGGTTTAGTGATTGTCGACTATGTTGACAAGCAAATACAAGAGGGTGTTGACTGCAATATATACGAGATCGTGTTTATAACCAGGTGCACGTGAATATACAGAGTACTTACGCCGGTCGGAGAAAATATATTTTTACAGAAGAGGCTGATTTTGAGGGTGTTTTGAGGATGTTTGAGGATGAAGCCCATGATGTTCAGTGTTGTGGGATGAAGTGTAACGTCACACAGACATATTCTAACTAATGTTATATTGATCTGACGTTGTTCTTCCTCCTGGTGCTATCGAATAGTGATGACAACTTCTCAGCAGTCGTGGGTCGTGCACGTCAAAGACGTGCGACCACGTCGTCGGACAAAGGTCAACACACCTGTTATTAATACCTACTCAGCACAGGTGAGTCTTTCTGATCAGGGGCGATGGGGTAGCCTAGTGGTTAAAGCGTTGGCTCGTCACGCCGAAGACCTGGGTTCAATTTCCCACATGGGGACAGCGTGTGAAGCCTATTTCTGGTGTCCCCTGCCGTACTATTGCTGGAATATTGCTAACAGCGGCGTAAAACCATACTCACTCAGTCAGTGAGTGAATTGTTTACACCGCTTTTAACTGTATTACAATTGTATCACAGCGTATCCGATTAACTTAAGAAAAAGCCTGAATTGATGCAGGCTTTAGACGGGTACAGGTTTGTAAAAACCCATAGGGGCAGACAGGAGCCAACAAACCAATGGTCTATCAATGCGAATCTCGGATACAAACCAACAATCACATGGTCCTATCCTATGTAAGGGACGCAACTTTGCATGATGAAAAGCAGCGCCCTAAACGACCTGGCGGATCATGCCAGTCCCTAAAGCAACAATTTTCAAACCTAGGTTAGATCATAAGATCCCGGCACTACAAAGGGGCGCAACTGTACAGTTCATTTCAACTCCACAGGCGACTGAACAACTCCGTCTACCGCTAAATAGACTTATAGCAACATTTTTCGAACCTATTTTCGATCATAAGATCCCGGCGCTATAAAGGGACGCAACTGTAAGGGAATTTCAACGCCACAGACGACTGAACCTTTCGTTCTGCCTCTAAATGGACTGTATGTAGCAACATAATCTGTTCAGTGTTCAAATTACCGAGAGAGAAGCAATGAATATAACTGATTACAACGTGTTGTTTAACGTTTCACAGATTTGTACGCCCCTCTGTGAATGTTAGGGTATTCTACGTGACCTGTCGTCGTTGTACGTGTGACTGCATAGCAAGCTGAGCCTGTACAGAGGCAGGTTTCTCTTATATCGTGTCAGTGTTAGGATATCCTCCATACCTAGAGGTCGTTAGTGGGGCTATAGGTAGCCTAGTGGTTAAAGCGTTCGCTCGTCACGCCGAAGGCCCGGGTTCGAATCCTCACATGGGTACAATGTGTTAAGCCCATTTCTGGTGTCCCCCGCCGTGATATTGCTGGAATATTGCTAAAAACGGCGTAAAACCATACTCAGTCAGTCAGTCGAATTCGGGCACAATGTGTGAAGGCATTTCCGGTGTCGCGCACTGTGTTAATGTTGGAACATAACAAAGAGCAGCGTAAAACTCACTCCTTCACAGTTTGTCAGCCGCAAAATAGTACCGACGAAAAGGAAAATTAACACGAATCTTCCAGTAACAATTCTTTTTTTCTATAGGTTTTATATTTAAAGCATTTTACAATTCTTACTGAATTGCATTAAACGTATTTATTTGTCAATGCCAACTCATAATTCCAGTCATTGTCATGAAGTGGAGAAAAAGTAGTTTAACAAAATCACGTAATTTTTGTTCGCAGCCTGTATTGCAACTTATAGGAGTAACTGTTTAATACATGTTACGACAAGGGGGTCTGCGCTGTAAGTTGAACAGCCCGACATTCGCACGTGTTATGCCTCTACTTTTGTTTTTTCTGTTATAAAATCCTGTCAATTTAGAGTCTAAATCAGAATTAAGTGTACCTTTCTATAGTAGTAGTTAAACGCAACGTACACTAGATACACCATATTTCTATATCATTGCTATAAACAATTGTCATCTTGACAAAACACACACTTGACTGTGGTATTAAAGGGGTTGGGGGCTGGAGGGCTTAGCTCCTTGGAGCAGGTGTGTGGTAGGGGAGCTCAAGTTGGAGAAGGGGGAGGGTAGTGAGTGAGTTTAGTTTTACGCCGCACTCAGCAATATTCAAGCTATATGGCGGCGGTCTGTAAATAATCGAGTCTGGACCAGACAATCCAGTGATCAACAGCATGAGCATCGATCTGCGCAATTGGGAACCGATGACATGTGTCAACAAAGTCAGCGAGCCTGACCACCCGAACCCGTTAGTCGCCTCTTACAACAAGCAAGGAGCAGTAGTGAGTTAAATTCTCAGAACTGAGATAACAACTTAGAAAGGTAGACTGGAGGGGACAGTTGCGTTTTCTGTTCAGAGAGATTTCGATGAAAAGATAACAATATGATATACTTAATTCGACTACAACGTATTACTATACTTCTACAAGCTGCAGGGGCGATGGGGCAGGCTTGTGGTTCAAGCGTTCACTAGTCACGCAGAAACACCGGGTTCGATTCCCTACTTGGGTACAATGTGTGACGCCCTTCTGTGGTGGAACATTGTTTAAAGAGGTGCAAACTCATACTCACTCACTCTACAAATGACATGCCACATAAAACAATAAGTATTCACTATTTCAACATGAATTTAAAAAAATGTATATTCTTCACATTATAGGCATTCCACAAACGTTTCAAATTGTAAATTTCAGCAGTCACAATGATCTCACTTACTTGGCGGACAAGCAAGACTACTCGGTTGCAGCTCTCCTGCTGTCTTCGCGGCTTGAGATACCCGGATGTAGCCACTCACATTATATGATAGCAGAGATGACCCTTGACTATCACAGCAAACTGTCTGTATTGTCTGTGGTTGTTATCTCTCGGTGAACACTCATGGACACTCTGATAGCATCAGCCGATAGCAACTTCGTCGACACTCGTTTTCTATTAATAACGATGCGTGTTTCGAATTTTGCTTTGTTGAACTCCAAGTTTTTAATTCAACCAAGATGGCGAATGTTTCGGATTGTTGTCCTCGTTTATTATAATGTGATGGAAATATTACAACATATTTCATACACTCTACATCGGATGCGGTGGGATAGCTTATTAAAGCGTTCGTTCGTCACACCGAATACCCGTGTTCGATTCCCCACATGAGTACAACGTGTGAAGACCATTCCTGATGACATGACACACACACACACCCACACACACCCCGCCGTGACTGCCGGAATATTGCTAAAAGCGGCATAAAACCATACTCACTCACTCACTGAACAAAATCGTGGTTCTGAATGTCCAAATATTTTTAAAAAATACGGTCCTGAATCAAGAGGATTTGTCAGAGCAGCTATTGGCATTTGAACTTTCCATCTAGATCGAAAGCGAGGATGAACTTTCTTTATGTTAGTGATTAAGGCATCTCGATAATCTCCAGGGTATATATTACGATCACTCCACTCGCTGGATGCATCCACGGCTTGGCCCGATAATTATATTACCTCCCTTTGCTGCCTCCGCATTCTCACAGTAGCCAATCAGCTAAGCCGCCGTTACATCCGAGCTTGCCAGTGTCAACAAAGATAGCGGTCGCAGTGCCACTCAGATCTTTGAGGAAATAATACAGACAAATTGACAGATCTGAAACTTTAAAAAATATATATTAAAAAACTCCTTCTACCTCTTTCAGAGTACCTCTGCATTGCCAATTGTGTTGCCAAGTTTAAACGGTTAGATAATTTAAGAAGCGAAAGTGAGTTGTGATTGGTTCGCTCAACTTCCCAGCGTAGACACCTGATTGGATAAATAGCCAGTCAAGGGAGGTAATAAAATCATCGGGCCTAGCCGTGGATGCATCCAGGGTATAGTGGAGAGTGATCGTAAGGTATACCCTGGAGATTATTAAGGTTGAATGTGATATGTTAAAAAACACGTGCATTCGTTGCACTCACTCACTCACTCTACATCGGCATCCTCCTGGCTTCCCGCGCATCCCGGGCGTTAACAGACTGTATCCGTCGATTATACGTGATCATATTAGAGTACATTCCGATTGTTAGTTGGTTCTGTCATTATGTAGAGTTACTGGACCCATGCACTGGATTGTCTGGTCCAGACTCGATTATTACCGTCCGTCGCCATATAGCTGGAATATTACTGAGTGCGGCGTTTAACAACAAACAAAACAAAGCTGTGGAGTTTAGGAGTGTCGTGATTGCATGATCGTGGGTTCGAGTCCCAGATTTCGCGCTATACCATACGTTACCAAACCATGCCATACCATGTCATGGCTATACTGTCAGCACCATACCATACTTGTGTGTCTAACCAGAAAGGTATATAACTGCGACCTGTAGAACTTCGGGATTCCATCCCACATTTAGTCATATTTATTAGCACTCAGCAATATTAAAGCTGTATGACGTCGGTCTGTAAATAATCAAATCATGAGCATCGATCTTCACGGGTGAATATCCAACTACTGATAGTAGTGGTTCTTCTGGTAGTTTTTACAATACATCAGGGTGGTTTTGGACAACTGTCCTGTGGGGTATTGGACTGTACGTGGTTGTGTGTCGATATGCTATAATCCTGACAAGGTCCGGACGGTGATATGTAAAAAAAACAATACATCAGGGTGGTTTTGGACAACTGTCCTGTGGGGTATTGGACTGTACGTGGTTGTGTGTCGATATGCTATAATCCTGACAACGCTCGACACTAAACCACTCAGTGTTCCTCTCAGTGTCAAGAACTATTATGTTGTTGTTAAGATTTACCACTCTCTGGTGTTTGACTGCTTGATTCGTCTAAGTGTGGCTTGAACGTGATCTGTCTATAATGGGATTATTACAGGTTGCTGGGGGATGGTCCATCTGTGCAGGCACATTGTAGGTTTCGAACGGTGGAGTGCCGGGTGATTGGCCGTGTGTAGGTGAGAGTACCGGGTGGCTGGGTGGTTGTCGGTGTGTAGGTGAGAGTATCGGGTGATCGGTTGGTGGTCTGTGTGTATCGGGTGGCTGTCCATGTGTAGGTGAGAGTATCGGGTGATCGGTTAGTGGTCTGTGTGTATCGGGTGGCTGTCTATGTGTTGGTGAGAATACCGGGTGATCGGTTGGTGGTCTGTGTGTATCGTGTCGCGGGGCTGGGTGTTTGTCCATGTGTAGGTGAGAGTATCGACTGGTTGGGTGGTTGACTGTGTGCAGGGGAGAGTATCGGGTGGCTGGGTGGTTGTACTTGTGTAGGTGGGAGTACCGGGTGGCTGGGTGGTTGCCCGTGTGTAGGTGAGAGTACAGGTAGCTGGATGGTTGTACTTGTGTAGGTGAGAGTACCGGGTGGCTGGGTGATTTTCCCTATGTAGGGAAGATTATCGGGTGGCTGGGTGGTTGTCCGTGTGCAGGTGAGAGTACTGGGTGATCGGTTGGTGGTCTGTGTGTACCGGGTGGCTGGGTGGTTGTCCACGTGTAGTTGAGAGTACCAGGTGCAACTTTCCTCGTAAAAAAAGACAATCTACCAATATTCAATATGAGCATGTGACAATTAATGGCGACACCATGTTTGCCGCAGCGCGAGACGAGTTCGAGCATACCTACCGAGCCAGGACCCTTGTCCCGTCTGACCTTGACCCGAGATAAACAACGTTATATGCGGCTGCCTGTACGTTAAATCTTCGCGTTGTCTGAAATGTACGTGACATCATGTTGCGGGTTATTTCAAAATCAATACTTGCTATACTTACTTGTGGCAATCCTGTTGAAAACCTTAAGCCCCCCTACGTGCCACAGCGTTAGATATTAGGTCATGTAGCTGTGGTAAAATGTCAACTTATTCTTTCCTGAGTCTAGACATGAGGACCTTATCCCAGCACGTCTATTTACATTCGACAGTTATTGTACTTTTTAAACAATTAGATTTTATTATTTTATTTTATTTTATTTTATTGTCTTTTTACTAATTATGGACGTTTTAAAAAATAAACATAATCACAGTTGCGTTTTGTAATGTCAGTTCAAGTTGGTGTGATGGGATCCAATCAAGAACACTGTTTATGAGGGCAATGAGGTAGCCTAGCGGTTAAAGCGTTCGCTCGTCACGCCAAAGACCCGGGTTCGATTACCCACATGGGTATAATGTATGAAGCCCATTTCTGGTGTCCCCGCCGTGATATTGCTGGAATATTGCTAAAAGCGGCGTTAAACCATACTCATTCATTACTGTTTATGAAACAGAGTAAAGCATAATATCAACACGATGATAATATAAGCTTCGCTTTGGAATTAAACAGCGCTTGAATGAACTGTCGTTAACTATCATATGTAACAAAGATGCGCGGTATTATCGGTATGTCGGTTTACTGAGGTTCATTCTCTCCGCAATCTATATCACAATAATATTTGAATGCCCGTTAAATCGGGTGATTTCAAATCACGTTTTTTATCAGGTGTTAATGTTTTACACTTGCCAAACACCTTCGAAATGTTTCGGCAAATCCAAAATGCAAATTCGTAATATAGAAAGTGAATTCTCAGTTATCTCCCTTATGTGCATGCGTATTCCTGCACTTTATGTCAACAACATCGGGGTCTCATTTTATGGCAGTGGTCGGTCGTTGTCACCGGCATCTAGTTTTGTTCTATTTATGGACACCTTTATTTATGGACATCAGTTCCTGAAATGATGTTTCTGATTACTTCTGAATGGAAATTGAAATTAAACAATATATTGTGACACTTGCAGCATTACATTGTGACAGAAGGGAAAGAGACCTTTCTTTCTTCTCAATATGTTGTTCATATTTTGTGTCTATCTCTCGAAAATGTTATTTATTATATGATGCGCACATATCATAGTTTTTGTCACTGGTAACACATCTGAAAATGTAGTGAGAGATCTTTAACCACTTTAGTTTTTTTCTAATGAAACCATGTGCATTCCTCGAACAACCTTCAAAAAGATATTGTTCTGAATCTAGAACTATTTTCAGTGCATTTCTATTAAAATAGTAAATACAGTGTTTGACAAGGATGTCAACTTCGTCCCTTATTGTTTTCAGTGTTTGGTTTGCTGAATAAGAACAATTAGTACATTGTATCTATCCTTGATATTGTTTTTAAAAACTTTGTTTAGTTGGTTACACATCCATGAAGGAAACATGATTCTAAGGTCACATAAAATATATTTCTTGTTTCGGATCACTTTTGTTTTACAAAATGGGTAGGTAGGGCGGATTTTATTGGTATTTTCTATATATTTGTTTCTGATTTTCTGTACAATGTTAGTCGAAAACTGCCGGAAGCTGAGATGAATTTCGGAAGTCTGGCGGCTTTATACATGTTTTACCAGTGCATAAAATATCTATAGAAAAATAGGGACGGGCCAAATTTTAGGGTCGGGCGGTAATGAAAAGCAAGAAATTATTTTTATGTGGCCTAATGTACTTATTTACTTACGACAATTCACAATAGTCCACAGTTTTTACCAATATGCCAGTTATACCACGGCACATCTGGAGATTTCGTCGTGACGAGCGAACGCTTAATATAAGCTACCCAATTGGCCCTGTTTTCAGAATACGGACGTAAGCAAAACCCTTTATAAATGTCAGGGACGCGACAACGTAGCTCCTTGTTTTACAGGAATATATATAAAACAGACACTATGTTTCTACTTTCAGATCCACAGATGTGCAGAACTTTACTCTAAGCTAATCACAGACCACCCCCAGCGCAGCTACCCGCTCTCATCTGTCCCTTGTTCCCGGTCACGTGATCATTACCTTCATTACGTTGACCTCAAGCCCTCGGGTGCAAGGTCAGCCCCGCCGTGGTGTCGACGTTATTGGGAACCTTCCAGAGCGGACAGCGTTATTACTAGAGGAGAAAGCGTTGGTGTCAGCAGGGATGGGGTTAATTCCGGCATGGATGGGGTTAATACCAGAGTGGATGGGGCAAATTCCAGAGGGGACATCCCCTCAAAAATAGCGGGGAACGTTAATACCAGAGGAGAATGGGTTATTAGAAGTGGCGAAAGCGTGAATAACAGAGGACAAAGATTACACACCCGAGCGGGGAGGGTTGCTGCCGGAGCAGAGAGGACTAATACCACGCTGCACAGATCTAACGTCATTGGTGTGGTTAGCGACACCACGGGGACGTCAAGCGAGCTGACCCCACGGGAGAACAATGACAGGGTAGGGCCTATGTGGCTCGCTGAGCATCTCAGGTCGCGTGACTGTGGGGCACCTGTTAATATGACGTTACCCCACGTTCAAGAGAACACCAGAACATTACCACCAGGTGTTCATGCGAGGGTATTACCCAGAAACCCCTCGGTCAGAGAGAAGATCAGAGGACGGGCGCGGCTCGATTACGAGATGGCCAATATTAAAGCCGAAGCATTCTGTGAACAACAGAGGGAGAAATATTTCAGGACAGCTTCGGCCAATCTTCGGAATCGCGACGTCAGATTTCAGGAGGAGGAGCTGCGCGAACAGATACGCAGAGAGCAGGGAGATGGAGAGGATGACATCATCAGTATTGTGACTTCTCCACTTGATCAGGAGGAACTGTATTCCCGTATTCAGAGCTGGATTGAAGACGTTCAGGGGGCGCTGAAGCATTCCACCTGAACTTTTAATAAGTCACGTTGCTGGCAATGCTTATTGTAATAACATAGTCAAGCAAAATATACACTTAACTATGGAAGGTCTTATACCAAAATTGATTGATCTTGTTGCTACTGTAGCGCCTCAGGCAACACAAGGCATAGTGGCGTACAGTGAATGGGTGTTTTCATTCTCGCAGTGCAACTGTATGTGAAGTAGGGCGAACTGTTTACAGAGTCCGACAGACACTACCAGGGGAAGGCGTCGATGTCTGGCTGACACTTGGGCAGCAGATGGCTGGATCAGTGGTCGTTCGTCCCTCCATGACTCAGGCTTACCTTCTGCCTGTCTGTCCGCGCTCTTCCCGCTGTCTGCCGGCGCTCCTCCTGCTTGTTTATCATGACGTCTTTCAAAGAAGATGAACAAATTAAAACCCAGCTAAAGTCGGCAACTCTCATGGACATAAGCTGCTTAGCTGGTCATATTTTCACGAGTTTGACATATGTACAAGTGTACACGACAAATAGTGTTACACTACCCTGCCTGCCACACAGCATTTAGTGGATAAAACAAAAAACGGTTTCTCGAAACAGAGGAAGACGATTATGTTTGAGAGGAATATCGGCGCAGATTTGTGTCTCCATGTCGGTTAATTTTATCATTCTCGTTAAGGTCAATCACCATTATAAGTGACAGACATAACAAAACAGTGAAACTCCGATTACTCAGAAACCGCAGTGAAAGAATTTCCGTAATGGCCAAATTTTCGTTACAATTATATACATGTGCAACTATGTATAAATGCAACAAAAATGTTAAAAAAATGAATTAAATTTTTCGTTATAGTAGTAGTACACTTTTAAGTTTAAACTGATCTTCAGCAATGCAAACAAAACCCGGTTTTCCAAATACACCGGGTACGGATAAGCGAGGTTTCCCTTCACACGTGCAGATGGCAGTTTGCCATTAATTGTCCTTGTGTCTACCGAGGGTGTGTACGTTTATGCCAATACATCCAAAACAAAGTCATAAATAAACAAGTGATTTATTGTGAGTATATGTACAGATGATGCAATGTTCATAAATAATCAGTTGATGATGTTTGAGACGGTCCCCAGGGCGTCATCCCGCCATGAACCCCTCGGGAACACAACGGTAGAACAGCAGCTGGAGGGGGAAAATATATTTCATCATATAAGTACAAATAAACTCGAATCTGTTTATCTCATTATCCATACACAGAAGCACAGTGGTACAGTGATAGAGCGTCTGATTAGATATAAGAATGTCGGTAGTTCGATCTCTTGACCGTGTCAAACCCAAAAATGTTAAAAGATGGTATTTGTTGTTACCCTGCAGAGAGGGTATATACCAAGATCTGGTTTACGCTGGTTGGCTATGAGGTCGTTATATGACCGCAATGACCCTCAAACCTACGTGGGTACAATGTGTGAAGCCCATTTCCGGTGTCCCCTGTGTTGCTGGAACATTGCTCAAAGCGGCGTAAAACTAAACTCACTCACTCACTCAAAGCTACGTCAAACCCGGGTTCACCTTCGCCTTCACCCATGTTTAGCGAAGATGGTGCTATCAAACAGCAGAATGGGTAATGGAAGGCTATTATCAGGCCCATATTCACATACATTAATTATGATTGAGTGACCTCTGTTTAGCCAGAATTGGTCTTCAGCAACCCATGCTTGTAGTAAAAGGCGATGCTAATAAGATCAACCGTCTATTCCAGTATCAATTATTTACACCGCCGCCACATCGCTGGAATATTGTTGAGTGCGGCGTAAAACAGTAAACCAACAAACTGTAATGGAACCCATGGACACTGGAGGCTAATACTCTGAACTAATCTGAACTAAACTTAAGCCGCACATCGCTCCCGCTAGGGGACGCAACTCTTCGATGAATTGGAAAACCAACCAGCCACTGCCCGTTAAGTGTATGTAATTCTAAATAATATCATTACAATTATCACAAACCCGTTTTGTTTCATCATTATCATGGCCATGAGAAGTATCACTGTGACACACCACAGTGCTCTTCTAAAGATCCCGGTTTGGACTGGTTTTAAGAAAGCCTGCTGGTCGTAAGAAGCGGCTAACGGGATCAGGTGGTCAGGTTCGGTGACGCATGTCATCGTTTCCAAAGACCAATGGATGCTCATGACGTCAGTAATCTGGTCAAGCCACGATTGTGCACAGACCGATATAATATAGCTGTAATGTTGCTGAGTGTGCAACATCCAGACGCCGGTCGGTGTTCATAATATTAATCATTGAATTATCAACATCAACCGTAATATTGCCGCGAGAGGCAAGTAATAACATTTTGTTATCATAATCCTTATGGCCACCACCAGACTGTATACCATCATGACATACTCACATCATCAAACTCCCCGATAAAGTTTTCAAGACCGTTTCCCATTCCTATGGCCAGGGCACACGTAATGGGCTTTATATGCAAATCTGAAATTATGTAATTTTTAAAATATAGACACAACGTTGCATCACCCCAACTGTAGTCCTACACAACATTAGGTCCTTGGGGAGCTCGGATCAGAGTGGATCCAAATTAGCCTATGCTTTTCCTAAAGCACGACCTGGATTGACCTGACGGGGTCCAACGTCTCCCTAAACGTTAAGGTTATCCATAGATGTATTGTACCGCAAATAACGATCTGGTTTTAATTATATAAAATCGTGAAGTCAATATCCCCAAGCGTTTAGATTCACAATAAAACTCAGAAATGCCTGGGAACAGTGACATGACTAATGGCCGCCGTGTTGATACCTCGGACCAACGTTTTCTTCTTCAGTACATTGATGTAGCCTAGTGGTTAAAGCGTTCACTCGTCACGCCGAAGACTCGGGTTCCATTCCCCACATGGGTACAATGAGTAAAGACAATTTCTGGTGTCCCCCGCCGTGACATTTCTGGAATATTGCGGAAAGCGGCGTAAAACCAAACTCTCTTGCTCATTCGTTCCAAAAGACCTCACTTACTCACAAAAATAATACTTACTTGTGTATACAGGCTTCGCTTCCTTGTTGCCAACCTTGAACCGTATGATGGTGTTATTCCTCATCAGTTGCACAGGTGTCTCTGACGTCACATTCTGCAATGAAACACCGTCACTATATAGCCGCGCAACATCAGGTACTGTATATTGCGGTATACTTTCTACCACCACCACCTGACACAACATTACACATGACAAACCAGACACTTCAGACTCCATATGGAATATATTCATGTCATTAAGGACAGGTTAGGGTAAAGGGTGTTTTAAAGGAGAATTGGTCTTCAGCAGCCATACTTCATATACGTGTCGTAAGAGGCGGCTAACGGGATCGGGTGGTCAGGCTCGGTGATTTGGTTGACACATGTCATCGTATCCCAATTACGTAGATCGATGCTCATGTTGTTGATCACTGGATTGTCTGGTCCAGACTGGATTATTTACAGACCGCCGCCATATAGCTGGAATATTGCTGAGTGCGGCGATAAACAACAAATGGTTTTTAATCAGTATCTGTTTAATCATATTTTCAAACCGGTATTTTCTTACTTTCCCTTTCCCAAAGTGCTTAATTTTGTTTAATATTAGAAATATAATATTACAAATACAACTCTCTCGTGCAGACATCCAACATAACTAAGAACATACTGTGAATCCTAGGAGTCAGTATACTAAATATGACACTTTATACTATTTCAAAAACAGAAATGTATGTACTTTCTAACCAATTAGCTTTAAGTCCAATATGCATTTACCCAAAAGTCATCATGGACCTTCCCAAAAATTATAATTGTATTTGAAATTCCAGACGGTCAGGTTTAGAATCACCAAAATTGGCCAAAACTTCATAAATTACAAGGGGCGGTTGGGTAGCTTAGTGGTTAAAGCGTTCGCTCGTCACGCTGAAGACCAGGGTTCGATTCCCCACATAGGTACAACGTATGAAACCCATTTCTGGTGTCCTCCATCGTGATATTGCTGGAATATTGCTAAAAGAGGCGTAAAACTAAAACTCACTCACTCACTCATTACTTACAACGTCATGGATACTCCTCACGAACGAGTGGTCGCTGCCACTAACCGTGACCTCCAAGGTTACGATCCTTCTCCTGATAAACATGCGCAGTGTTCCCTTCGTTCCGTTGCATCCGTTTCCAACGAGCGCCATGCCGTTTCCTCGCCTTGACTCATGGGAGGTAACTCTAAACTTGAAGGAGAGAGCAAACTGAGGCCGGAAGTCGCTGTTGACGAGAAAGGGTATTTCCAAACTTCCTGCTCCGTGGAATACCGCCTTTTGATCCGTGACACCGACCGACCCTAGTTTGGCCTGGTGGATTCGACCCCTGGACTCCAGCATACTACCATCATAGGGGAAGTAGAAGTCATTTACGCATTCTGGGGAAGAGTTCGAAACGAAAATAGCTATCACTTGTTAAGGTCATTTAAACAAATTAGGTATCGCTGACGTCTGTTTTCAGGATGGTTTGGTATGGAGGAAAGCTGCTTGTAAATATATAAATATAATTTCTTTAGAAAGTTATAAATCTGGAAAATATATTGATTTTAATATGCCACGCCTGTTGCGGTCCAAAACGAATCTTAGGTCGTGGAGGTGTGGTTTAGTATCCAACGAATGCGCTCACTCACAAACTAATCGATTCTGGGCCAGATAATCCAGTGATCAACATTATGAGCATCGATGTACGCAACTGGGATACGATGACATGCGTTAGTCGCCTCTTACGAAAAGCAAGTGTTGCTGAAGACCAATTCTAACCCGGATTTTCACGGGTTGAAATATATGTGTTCTTGTAAGAATGTAGAATATTAGCTATCTTCGGTAATATGACAATGGTCAAAGGGGGTTAACTCTGCCTGAAGAGCTGAGGGACGTACGTTCTCAAGGACCAATCAGATTGCAGCGGTATGCTCGTGTCTGGAGCCCGCCATAATAAAATTGGATCGACATAAATCTGCTTTGTTGTTTTAGGTATGTATGCACTTTTGTAGGTCGAAATAAGGTCTTCTGTACACAACTACGTATTTGTAACATTACCGGGTACTGGAAAATACTTATTTAGGGACTTGTAATGCTGTTTATATGATGTGTTTGGTAATTTATCAATGTCGAGGTGAAACGCTCGTGATTTTGTGAAGGTTAAGTTGTCGAGTAACTCTTACACTCGATTTAGATTCAATTATTATTGATCTCGTACTTACAATAGGTGTTTTACTTATTTAAATAGTCAAAACAATTATTTTAGACACACGTTATTTTAGGAAAACCAATAATAGTAAATAGCCGCCAACTTTGATTGAAGTTTGAGTGTCTCCTAGTTTCGTGGGTCACGTGACTGGTATAACCCCCCCACCACCACCACCATAGGGGAAGTAACTCTAATCTGTTTATATAGTTGAAGTTGATTTTACTCATCGGGAAGTGAGTTACGGGTAATGTTGTGACTCTATGTATTATTTCAATGTATTTTCACTTGCAAATTGGTAAAACACATGCAACTGGTATTCTATAGGAATTAAGTCATGTTTGTAATTTTGAATAAAGCAACAGTATTGTTTACATATGTTATGTGACTATTGGTCATGTATAAACATGGTATTTCTATGAATATGTATATCAGAAATAACTGCTCTTCATGCATGACGTAATCATACATTAGTGATTTTGTAACAAATGAATAAGTGTTTCCAATATTTCAAAATAACATATCGGGTGACATAATGTTGTATCACCAAATACCTGGATTTGATATTGTCATCCGTTGGAGTACTATCTTGGTGGAAAGAATATGAGTTATTTTACAATTTACTTGTTATGATTAATTCATTTAAAAGCTGACAGTTAATTTTCCAGTTGAATCCTTTGTGAAAAGTCAGAAACCTTTATAATAGAAATGGTGTGAGAATCTGATGTACTCAGGATATTATGTCCGTTGCGCAATAGTGGTTGTAGCTTGTATGACACATGTGTCTGGAGCCCGCCATAATAAAATTGGATGAAATAAATCTGCTCTGTTGTTTTAGGCTGGTTGCTGAGGGTCTTACATACTGACCTCGGGAGGGTCTTGTTGGCCCCCTGTGTATTCAAGAACAGAAGATCTACTTAAATGTGTTATGTACTCAAGAAGAGAAAATAAGCCTAAATTGTGTGAATATACACACGTGGAGAGGGCCTGATTGGCTTGTTTATCCTTAGGAAGAGAAAATCTGCTTGATTTTTGTAAAAAAACTGTTCATGTGTGTATGTGTACTGACCTAGAGAGGTTCTTCTAGGCCTATGTGTACTCAAGGACAGACGATCTACTTAAGTACTCAAGAAGAGAAGATCTGCTTGAAGTGTGTGTGTACTCACGTGGAGAGGGCCTGGTTGTCGTTCGTGAAGTTGTATACGTGCACTGGCACATAGCGGTGTTGTAAACAAGTCCTACTGGACAGGACATCAGTGTCCAGCCCAGCTGACCCCCCGAGTAGAACTTGTTGGGATCGTGCGAGGGCATCATAGTGTTGCAATCTGAAATCCATGCATCTGTCTCGACATTGAGAACGTAAAGGTGACATTATTTCTGAGATGTGCATGCAGTACGAGCTGTTGTAACAAACACCTGAAAGTACACACAATATAATTGTTTGTTTGTTTGTTGTTTAACGCCGCACTCAACAATGTTCCAGCTATATGGCGCCGGTCTGTATATAATCAAGTCTGGACCAGACAAACCAGTGATCAACATCATAAGCATCGATCTACACAAATGGGATACGATGACATGTGTCAGACAAGTCTACGAGCAAATATAATTGAGGAATGTATAATGTTTCCGGTTCATTGAGGTATGAATCAGAACACCGATGTGCCAACACATCGCAAATGAACGAAAATGGGATAATACAGCATCTACTGACGTTGTTACATAAACGGTGAGTGAGTGGGTTTAGTTTTACGCGGCACTCTGGACCAGACAATCCAGGGATCAACAACATGAGCATCGATCTACGCAATTGGGATGCGATGACAAGTGTCAGCCAAGTCAGCGAGCCTCTTACGACAAGACTATGGGTTACTGAAGACCAATTCTAACCCGGATATTTATGGGTAATTCGTAAACGGTACCTACAAGGATATATGGTTATTGTTTCTTACACTGCTGCCGCCGGAAACACGACCTGCTGCACGCACATGGAGGAAGAAGCTTCAAACCTCTCGCCCGGCTGACATCTCGCGTGATGTGATCTCCGATTTCCGCAGACGTAGAAGTTGTGACAGGAGTCTACATCCGGGTACTGGTATCCGTCGGGGCGATTGCGGCAGGGATCTGCAAGACCAGGGTTAGGGTACACACATGATGACCAAGATGAATGAATACCGCAGTGGACATCTTCACTGCTCTGGCTCATTATCTGGATGCAACATTTGAGTCCCGTTCTACAAGGCAGTCGTAGATCTGCGGCTTTCGTAAGTCTACGTAGAGGACTACGATCATCTTGGCGCTGCGGCTACAACACGATCGAATCTCAGTTCATATTAGGATGATATCTGGGGGATATCAGAATGACGTATCAGAATGATACTTTGATAAATATCGAGTGATATCGGGGTGATAACGGGATGATATCAGGGGTCTGGTATCCTGGGGAGATGTTAGGGAAATATGGGCACGGTATTAGGATAATATCTGGGTGATATCAGAATGATTATTGGGATCATGTCAGATGATATCGGGGTCTTGTATGGTAGGGGATAATATGGTGATATCAGAATAATACTGTAATGATATCGGGATGATATTGGGGTCTGGTATCGTAGGGGAGATATTAGGCAGATATGGGCTGGTTGGTTGGTTTGTTGTTTATCGTAGCACTGAGCAATATTCCAGCTATATGGCGGTGGTCTGTAAATAATTGAGTCTGGACCAGAGTGGCCTCTTGCGACAAGCATGGGTTACTGAAGACCAATTCTAACTCGGATCTTCACGGGTAGGGAGGTATGGAAGCGAAATTAGAATGCTATCTAGGCACTATCTAGGTCCAAGTATTTATTTCAGTAAATGGACAAGTTGGACGTGTTTGAATTTTGGGATGTCATATTTCGGCGCCGTGATGTATTTTTGGCGCCGTCAGGAATTTTGGACATAAAAATACTCATTGCCATTTCTCGAACGAACACTGCTTGAGTGAGGGTGGACGTAACGACGCCATTGGGTGATATCGGTACAGTGGCGCCATGCAATCGGGACATAGTGAATGGGTGAGTGATTTTAGTTTTACGCCGCACTCAGCAATATTCCAGGTATATGGTGGCGGTCTGTAAATAATCGAGTCTGGAACTGACAATCAAGTGATCAACAGCATCAGCATCGATCTGCGCCATTGGGACCGATGACATGTGTCAACCAAGTCAGCGAGCCTGACCACCCGATCCCCGTTAGTCGCCTCTTACGACAAGCATGGGTTACTGAAGATCAATATTCTACCCGGACCTTCACGGGTCTCGGGGCAAGAGAGGGGGAGTAATCTTGAGTATCACCTGCGTTATAACGGAGCGGAATTGGTGCAATTTTTTTAATCCGAAGTATTAGGGAGGTCACAAGTGTAATCGGCGTGGAGTGGGGGTCGTCGTGGACATCAGCTGTGAGTACTCACCGTACGGACAGGAGACGAGGTCAACTTGTTGACAGCTGTTGATGTCGTTGCTCCAGAAGGTGGCGCTGGGACAGAACTGTGTCTGATTTTGGGAGTAGGAACACAGGACGAACATGTTGCATGTACCAGGAACCGGGAAGAACCCATGGCCCCTCTCAGCCAGGTGCTTCTGACACAGCACTGAAACAAGTGAGGAACTGGGTAACAGGAAGTGACAGACTGAGTGAGTTAGTGAGTCAGTTTAGTTTTACGCCGCAGTCAGCGATATTCCAGCTATATGGGCTTATATCCCAATGCGGGATTCGAGCCCACACCCTCAGTGTCAGGCACCTAGTCGCCAGCACACAAAGTCAGCCGCCTAACCCGCTCAGCCACCGCGACTTCCACAGTGGATAAGGTACCTGACTCTGAGGGTGTTGGTTCGAATCCCACATGGGACTCAACCCCAAAAAGTATATTACTAAATAAAAGTGTATTCCTAAATATAACATATGTTATGTCAGTAATGTTTAAAAATATTCAATCAACCTTGGTGAATTTGTTATTTTCTTATTTTTATTTGCAAATTTGCGATACAAATCCACAAAACAACAACAAAGTTGGAGTTTGCTTCAGCAAAAGAAATACGGGTATGTAGCTGTTCTGACCATTTTAATTGCAGATACTGGCTGTTTCTTCTTGATCAGATATTGGAACATAGAACAAAAAACATATGCCCAATACAAATGTAACAAAGAATGCTACTATATTCATTCTCCTTGGCAAGTGAGTGAGTGAATTTAGTTTTACCCCGCACTTCGCAATATTTCAGCTATATGGCGGAGGTCTGTAAATACTCGAGTCTGGACCAGACAATCCAGTGATCAACAACATGAGCATCGATTTACCCATGAGGTTATCAGACCGCCCCACGATGGAGACATGTACTGTGTGAAAATACATGAAACCCTGACGAGGTAAATTTGGAGGTTTGAAGTCCTGTTCGAAAACAGTAAGCTGTTCAGATTTGAAGCCTCACGATTACGAATTTTGTTTCAGTCTTATTCAATATCACCAGGAAAATCCGAAAATACGCATAATTAAAACGTCCAAAAACACAACGAAAGCGTTCTCTTAGACTGCGTTTAACGCCCGTAAAGATTAAGACAGCCTCACGACTGTTTCGTGAAAGTAAAATAGCAGCATCGAAGTCTATTGTATTTTAATTTTTTTAAGTTCCTCAAAGTCATCGTATCCCTACGACAGTCGTAAGTTCGCTTTTTTGAACGGGACGCGACCCGTAAAGATCCGGGTTAGAATTGTTCTTCAGCATACCATGCTTGACGTGGCAAACTAACGACATCGGCTGGTCAGACTCACTGACTTGGTTGACTTACGTCATCGTATCCCAATTACGTAAATCGATGTTCATGCTGTTGATCACTGGATTGTCTGGTCCAGGCTCGATTATTTACAGACCACAAAACGTTCGTAGCACTATGTCATTCGTAAGCCTATGATAAAGTATAGAGTTATGACAGGTCGTAACGTTACGAACGCTTTGTGGATCGGGACCCATGCCATATAGATGGACTATTGCTGAGTGCAGCGTTAAACAACAAACAAACAAACGACAGAAATGAACGGGTTCCTGGACACGGAAATGAACGGTCACCTGTCATCATGACCAGTTGATGCAGCGTAAACTAAGCGGGCTTTGTAAAACGACCATAAAACGTTTATGATTTACAAACGCTGAATGCCTTTCGTGAAAAGCAGTCTGATTTATGCTGAAGGGGCACACCGTACCTATACGACACTTCCCTGTATCCAAAGCTGAGATGTTGATGCCGGAAGTATATTACAATAACGTGACTCTAGTACCCTTGGTACGCCAATAAACTATACGTAGCTGAGCTGGAACTGGTGTCGTGTCATACGAGAAGGTATGTACCACAGACAACGTCTCATGGCACGCTCACATACGTGCTCCGTCAGGGGGGTTCAAGGATTGCTAGTTAGCGCTAGGGAGGGCATCCCACTTGCCATCTGAAGCATAATTTTATTGCAGCGGGAGGTTCGGAGGTGCAATGTCGGTGATAAGAGTGTCATGTTAAGTTTTTATTACGAAGGAGGCATGTGCTGGTTCTGGACAACCCGCAGTGGCAGACACCTTGAACACCTGTAGCATCAGGTTGTCATGGCGACCGATTTGAACATTTTAATCAAATGGCTAATAACTTTGTAGCAATAACAAGTATCAATTTAATAATTTAATGTGTCCATTTACATAGCGCCAAACTCCATACCAGGTATGCTCATAGCGATAACAATGAATAGCACAACACAGTATTACCTTGTATAACCCAAGCTGCCTGTTAGGCGCGAGAAGGTTATAGTCCCATGACGTATCCCACCGGGTACCCATTTTCTGCTTTATGAACAGAGGTTTTTGAACAAACTCACTTGCCTAAGGAAAGACCACATAGATCACATGAGCTTCGTTGTGGAACAGGACTGAAGTCCAAGAAACTCTCAGGAGTCAAGCTGCCAAACACGGTCACCCATCCAAGGACTCTCTGCCCCCAACTTTGCTTAACTTCAACTTGTGACCTGGGCTCTATGCAGAGGACCGTACACCACCACGCTAATTAATTGCTGAATACTGATAAAACGCTAATTGTTAATCTCCATTGCATTGTTCAGTGACTGTTACGGACGGTTTGGTAGCCTGGTGGTTAAAGTGTTCGCTTGTCACGCCGAAGGCCAGGGTTCGATTTCCACACGGTTACAACGTGTGAAGCCTATTTCTGATGTCCATCGCCGTGTATTACTGGAATATTGCTAAAAGCGGCGTTAAATCGAACTCACTCACTCACTCACTCAACGAGATGTGCAACTATGTCACTGTACAACGATGAACATATTAATCCAAAGGCTAATTGCTTCGCAGCCATCACATGTACACTTACATAAGATCCTAATCGAAGGGATTAAAGTAAAAAGGAGGTTAAATCCACATATTTTTTTAAAATATTTTTTTAGTATTTGAATGAGGGCAAAAAAATGTATGTAATGTTTGCCTAACAGTCTTTGAAATATCAAACACAAGCAAAATAAATGATTTGATGTGCGTTTCACAAAAATAATAATTCAAAAATATTTTTAAAAACTCCATTTATGAAGAAATGCTAAAAATGTAGTTAACCCTGTTGTTATTCTAACCCCTTCTAATTGATAATGCCCATTGCATTGTACACTGACTGTACGCCATCCTAAAGGATCTTCTCATGTGTTGTAATTATTATTATGTTTATATATGATTTAATCAGTGTAAATAACCTTGGATACATATAAGCCTAAACCGTAACCCATGCTTGTCGTAAGAGGCGACTAACGGGATCGGGTGGTCAGGCTCGCTGACTTGGAAGTATTGCCGAATAAACACAGGAGCGTTAAACTAATATAAAGTTGCTGACCTAGTTTACGGCGTGAAACGATGTCACCACCAGTCAAGAATTACCGTATTCCCTCGAACAACCACCCGGACGTAATTTCTTTCACAGTCTTAAACCAGTTTTAAAGCGAAACCCCCCGAGTTTAAAATAATATTTTCCGACGATCTTTTCTTACGTGGGCGTATTTCAAAGTTATCCAAAGTCCTCTGAATCAGTTTCCTCCTACATTAAGCTGTTCAACGTCGTGATGTTTAAAAATACCGTTCAAAGTGTCGTTTATCCAAACTGACTCAAGATAAAAACATACAAATATTTTAAACGTAATGCAAAATGAAATATATCATAATGATTTTCATATTACCTTTTAGTGCCCATGATACACTTTTACAAATAAATACGATTAATAACAGTTGTTTGCAATATCTATTTTGAAACAGGCTTAGGACAAATATTATGAAATTTGCGAAACGAAAAAGCAATTACGTTGCTCATTAATATTTTGAAAATGTACATGTCCCCAGTGGGCATGAGCTCAGGTGGGCTATTTTTAAAACTCATTTTCCTGTAACCTTAGGATGACTACAAGGTATTTCGAAAATAGGTCATGCATCTGCCTGCTACTGAAATGGAACATATATTTTTTTACAAAGGTGTCTTTCAGAAATAAGCATAAACGTATCAAAGTAGTTAATAGTTTTTTTTCATAAAATATGAACTGACTACGTTAGTTTGTTTGTTTGTTGATAATAATATTCCAGTAAGAATATTCCAGTTTATCAGTACGATCGGTAAGGATAAACCGGTGGTTGATATTATGACCAACGTGTCACGTGACATGCAATTTGCGCATCCGGGCAGCTGTCAACACGTATACAAACATAATGTTAAATATTCCTTGTTCTCTACATACATTACAGTGTATGTGAATATAAACTTACAGGTCACTTAAAATCATCATATTATTAGTAATTTTCAGTGAAATCACATGGAGGATGAAGAGTAAACACACGGATGAAAACATAAACGATTTACATCTGGAGCATATGGTTTTCATAAATAATAGTCCGTCTCATTTCATTTGAGACCGATGAATTGCTCACTAACACAAAATCTAATAAATAAAACAAAACCCAATTTTGCACAGTCACATGAAATCAACAGACCAACTTTGATGATTTGTCTCGGAACTTATTGGCAAGATTAAAATGTTCGTTTGAACAGGACTGACACTCCTCTCTTTTCATCAGTTCTAAAACTAGAAATTATACTTTCTTTAAAGGTACCTTTGGAACAGAATTATATCTCAAAAGATTAACAATTGCAAAATTCCGCGTGGCCATCGGACAATTTCGTTGCAGTTCCCATGGACTCAAAATAGAAACAGGCAGATATGTTAATATTCCTGTAGATAAAGAGGTGTGTAATGAAGGCTACATCGAAGATGAATACCGAAGATGAATACCATGTTTTGATGGTTTGTGTTCTGTATAAAACACTGCGTGAGAAGTACATACCTATTAAATTTATATCACACCCTACGCGTGATAAATATAACATGCTTTTGGCATCAACGGGTGTTAGAAAGCTGGCCATATATATTTATTGTGCAAATTTGCTTCAGAATAACCTGTTGATTAATTATTATTCAATGTATATATTGGCATATACATCATATACTGACTGACCACTTGTATGAACGTGGGCTGGAGGCCGACATTCTTCATGAATATAGATATATCTATCTATGATTCGAGCTTTATTCGTATGTAAAGAGGACTTGCCCTGATATAACAGAAATACTTATCAAAGCGGTGTTAACTTACTTCGACTGGAACTGTACTCAACAGCCATGTGTAGTTGTGAATGGTAGACATTATGTACGATTTGTGGAATTGGGTGATTGTCTCTAAGCATTTGGGATAATCATTTACTGTTAGAATGCTATACAATAAAGTTTGAGTTATTTAACAAAGTGTTTTTGGATTTTCATATTTTTTACCCAAACAGTAGGTAACAAAAGTACTGTAAGTCCCAATGGCCTCTAGTGTGGTGGCCTAACATTGGCTGCTGTGATCTGCAGCCCATTGTCGTATTGTATTGTTACTAATATTCATATGTTACAGCTTACATACTAGTTTCAAATTATTATCTGTGATATTCTAGTTCTAGCCTCCAAACTTTGTTAAATGGAATACCTCCAGCTTCCAACAATGTCAATAAGAACATAATAGAGTCCCTGCATTAATACATCTTTAAGACAAAACGATTTGATAACTTATTCTAGACCAATATATGCACACAGTTAATGAAAAGTAACTGCAAGCTCAAGGTTCTTAAGCACAACCCACATATTTGATTTAACTTTTTATTTTGGTGTATTCAGTTCTTGTGGATTTGTTTACTTGATAAAAGTACTGATGAGGTATTAATAAAAGCAAAGTTTTGCTTGTTTACCAAACCTGATTCGTTTGAGAATAATATATTTAAAACATATTCTAGTTCTTAAACTGCCCTTTGTCAAACGGTTGAATCGTCTCCAAATATATATTGCTATTTTGTTTAAGTCACGATATGTCTGAATGTATGACCTGTTATAGTCACGATATGTCTGAATGTATGACCTGTTTTAGTCACGATATGTCTGAATGTATGACCTGTTTTAGTCACGATATGTCTGAATGTATGACCTGTTTTAGTCACGATATGTCTGAATGTATGACCTGTTTTAGTCACGATATGTCTGAATGTATGACCTGTTTTAGTCACGATATGGCTGAATGTATGACCTGTGTTAGTCACGATATGGCTGAATATATGACCTGTTTTAGTCACGATATGACTGAATGTATGACCTGTTTTAGTCAAGATATGTCTGAATGTATGACCTGTTTTAGTCACGATATGGCTGAATGTATGACCTGTTTTAGTCACGATATGGCTGAATGTATGACCTGTGTTAGTCACGATATGACTGAATGTATGACCTGTTTTAGTCACGATATGGCTGAATGTATGACCTGTTTTAGTCAAGATATGACTGAATGTATGACCTGTTTTAGTCACGATATGACTGAATGTATGACCTGTTTTAGTCACGATATGGCTGAATGTATGACCTGTTTTAGTCAAGATATGTCTGAATGTATGATCTGTGTTAGTCACGATATGTCTGAATGTATGACCTGTTATAGTCACGGTATGACTGAATGTATGACCTGTTTTAGTCACGATATGTCTGAATGCATGACCTGTGTTAGTCACGATATGGCTGAATTGTTGTCTTTAAAGCTCAACTAACTCACTCACTGTTTAAAAACAGAGTTGCAAATAAGATAAAACACATTAAACGACGCTTACAAAGAACACCATTGACGAACTTAATCTTTTCTTTCAGCCGATCATTTGATGTATATTTTATTTGAAACGATTTTAACGACCTACGGTTATGACGAATTGAAATTAGTGCCCCTTTTGGTTCGTTATAACCGTAGTTTACTCTGAAATGAATGAAAATATTATTTAAAAGTTTACTTAAGTTTATTTATAATATTTTGTACAATGTATGTGTAGTGCTAAGACCTGGTGACACTCTAATTATCTTATTTGTAGTGAGGCAAGTGCGTTTATATATAGCGCGTATAAAACTGCTCATTAAATTCAGGGTACTATTTTAAGCTTTATTACAGAGGATTATCGTTTTTGCAAAACAGGACGATGAGGAAATTTAATTTTTAAAAACGCCCCGCGGCACGTGTTCATTTACATGTGCACCTGAAAACTAGATTCACAGGAGCACATGTTCAGTTTATGTAAGTTTAGTGAAAACATTTTTGGAAATATTATTTTGGGTCATATTTATTTGCCTTTAATTGCTGGTTCTTTCCGGCATGTTCCGTTTTAAGAGTTTCTGAAGTTCGTTTGGCATTTCCGATTGTAAAGAAAATTTGGCAGTGTTTTCAAGTTTGAATACGGTTGTGAAAATTATTATTTTTTAAAAACCCGATTTAAATTTTATACCAAGTGGAAGATTATTAGAACAGAAACATCTGAGGCGATTTGGGCATTTAATGGCTGCAATGGTCGATACACAAACACGATAGTGGCGCTATAATGGTTGAAAGCCCGATGTCTGCCGACTGGTGTTGATATATCTGAGATGACACAATGGGTGGGATTCTGTTTATGATCATGCTTACAGCACCATGAAACAATCTGAGCTCTTCAGTGTATAAACAATCAGAGCTTTTCTTCGTATAAAACAATCTGAGCTCTCCATCGCTTGAAACAACCTGAACTCTTCACCGTATGAAACAATCTGTGCTCTTCATCGTATGAAAGAATCTGTGCTCTTCGTCGAATGAAACAATCTGAGCTCTTCATCGTATGAAACAATCTGTGCTCTTCATCGTATGAAACAATATGTGCTCTTCGTCGAATGAAACAATCTGTGCTCTTCGTCGAATGAAACAATCTGTGCTCTTCATCGTATGAAACAATATGTGCTCTTCATCGTATGAAACAATCTGTGCTCTTCGTCGTATGAAACAATCTGAGCTCTTCGTCGTATGAAACAATATGTGCTCTTCACCGTATGAAACAATCTGTGCTCTTCATCGTATGAAACAATCTGTGCTCTTCGTCGTATGAAACAATCTGAGCTCTTCATCGTATGAAACAATCTGAGCTCTTCATCGCTTGAAACAATCTGAGCTCTTCGTCGTTAAAACAATATGTGCTCTTCACCGTATGAAACAACCTGTGCTCTTCATCGTATGAAACAACCTGTGCTCTTCATCGTATGAAACAGTCTGAACTCTTCATCGCTTGAAACAATCTGAACTCTTCATCGTATGAACCAATCTGTGCTCTTCGTCGTATGAAACGATGATCGATGTTTTGAAGAACATCGAGAAGGCAGATCGCCTGAAGATTGCCCAGTTAGACTTGGGTGCCGCTCCTCCAGCACGGAAGAGAGTGTATAGAGAAATAAACAACTGACTGGGGAGGTTACAGGAACAGTTAGAGGGAGAGACGAAGACTCCCTCCAATACCCGGATACAGTGGGGAGGCTGGTGAAGCTGGGTTAAATTAACAATATCAATGTACATCATCACGTGTTGACTTTTAGTGCTGCTCAATACAATATTTCATAAAGTAATAACTAAAATATATCTGACTTTCAGTGCTTTATTTAGTTTTAGTGCTGCTTTGCACATCAAAATATGTGCTTTGTTTGTATAAAATATTTCAAAGTGTCTGACTACAGAACTGCCGGTTGGACTAGTCCTTTATCGTAATGGGAGACAGCCTTTGATTTTGTGTTCACTTAACCATATAATTTTGTATCTTGTCTGACAACTGGGGTATCTGACAAATGAGGGGACACATTTTATGATTGTGCTAGGAAACGTTGAACTGGCCGTTTATGATGCCAATTGTTGTCTGTTACATGTATCCAGCATCCAGCTATCAAGACATAATGTGTGTTCCTCTCACATTTCTGGATTCCAGAGCTCCACGAGAATCCATTCAAAGAGAGATAGATTGCTGGGTCCACATATGCACAAACAAACCGTGTCTCAAAGATTAGCGATAGTCTTTAACACAATCAAGGAAATACTTCCATTTTGTCACAGAAATATTTGATACACAGAGATTCTGAAATCATATGGATTCTCAAACCGAAACATGAGTCTCATTAACCTATTCAGACAATGACCTACTTTTCAGTCGATCCGAATTTTCTCGTGTGAAAGTGAAAATAGACATCACAAACAACTATGGTTACACTGAATTCCAATTCCTTGTTTCGTAAGAAAATAGTATTTACAACTGAATTTTAATTTCAAACTTTAATAATATCGTATTTAATATTTTATGGCGAGGTGTAGGCAGCATGACCTTAACTAAGACGTCTGAGACTGCCCCAGTTTGATGAGGTCGTAACATGATTCACAATGCATCTGGCTCACTGGTTACACCTGTTATGTGTTTTTTTGCGCTTATGCAGTATAGTTCTGTAACGCACAATGTGATTAATATAATATTAAGTCCGTACAAGGCCGCCAAACGTTTCTAGCGGCAGAGCCTCGTTTTAAGATTTCCACGATTTCCAGGTTTCTGTTTGTCAGTGCTCGCTGTACGACAGAGCACGCTGCACGACGTGTTTGCAAGGATTATAAGAAGCGTAGTGTTGCAATATACAAATGGTAAGATGTATCAAATAAAACTGATTAATATTTATGTATCCAGTTAAATTAATTGGTCTCAGAATTCAGGACTGGTTTTTGTACTAAGTTGCGCTATAGGACGGAACCCAGTCAACAGGAAACGAGACTGTTGTGTAATCAATGTTTTGACTTGAAAAGCAATGATAATATGTCAACAAACAATGCATTTTAGGAAGTTTGGTTTGGTTTGTTTGTTGTTTAAAGCTGCACTTAGAAATATTCCAGCTATATGGAGGCGGTCTGTCAATATTCGACCAGACAATCCAGTGATACAATGACATGTGTCAACCAAATCAGCGAGAGTTACCACCAAATCCCGTTAGTCACTGCTTACAACAAGCATGGGTTGCTGAAGATCAATTCTAACCCAGATTTTCACGGGTCTTTTCAGGGAGTAATCAGATAATCATGTTATATATATTGTGCCGTACCTTCTGAGCAAAGAACACATTTTAGTATTTTGTTTGTTTGAGATCAGTTACAGATTCAAACCTACGCTCTCAGCGTGAGACATCTAACTGCCAGCACACTAAGTCAGCAATCTAACCGTTTCAGACACTGAAACGTCCACAAAATGAAAATCGAATCTTGAAATTTGGCATTCGAAACCAGAGACCATAT